GCGGGGTTATCCGTTAATTTTGTTTAAATAATTTTAAAGTAGCAAAAATGTAAAATACTACTAAAATAAATAAATAAAACAAATTTAGAGAAAATAATTTTATATATCAATATATTTATAAATATTATAATTTCATTTATTAAAAGTTTTTTTAAATTACCAAATGTTGAACAAATTATATTTTTATCAATAAATACTAACATGCGGGCTGATCCGCCAACCCTCAGACGAAAACCGATTAAAACCTATGATCCACTGCGAATCAATCCATGTGGCCCGTTTATTTGCGGATTTAATATATTTTCCCAAATATGCCCCATAGTGAGATGATTTGGGCTCGACCCACGATTTCCTATGAATCGTCTAATTTTAGAATTCTAAAACATAAAATCCCATTTTTTAATCATAATTAATATGATCGGTTTAATTAGAAACAATTTAATATTTTCTCTACAATTCGTTATTATGAATATTTATAAGTACACTACACGATTCGATCTACTTAAAACGCGCACAATATTAAAATCAACGTATGTAAACCAATATTCTCCCGCGGTGGACCGCGGGTCCTATCTTAGTTCCAAGTTTTATTTATTCGTTCTAAAGTTTCCTATGTACACATTAGTTCCATATAAACTCCAACAACAAAATAAAATTATGATTAAACAACCAAAATATAGATGAACTAGGAAATTACTAGTGAAAGACTAAACCCATTTACCAATGTACTGAGTATATAAGAACATATAGAGAACTTCTCTTTAAGGGCTCTTCTCGGCTTCATTTCTAGTCACATTATGATCAATCTTTAAATCGCCGCCTATGATGGAAGATAGAGCAGTCGCCAAAGCTGATTGGAAATTTGGATCTGTCGTGATTGCCTTGATTGTTTCAGCCGGTATATATGGCACTTGAGGAGTTTTAATGTTCTTGATTCCAATATGATCAAGATTGGTTTGTAGAGGATGTGATGAAGATGATCTTCCAAACGGGTCGAAAGATGACCCGGCGGTTCGGGATTGCTGATGGGTGTTAATGTTGCTGTAAGCTGCACGGTATTGATCATTGGGATTACCACCACCACCACCACCCCAATTCATCAATGTGTTGGTGTTGTTCGAAAAGTTGAGATTGGTTGAAGGATAACTATTAGATCGTGAGACATTACTAGGAGGAGAACTGAATCTATTGAGCATTGATAAGAACGGTTGCTGCGAGGACGAGGAGGTTGTGAGGTCGAGAGTGACTGTCGGATGGCCAGAAGAAGAAGGGGAAGAAGAGGACTGGAGGAAAGGTGATTTAGGTTTTGGAGTGATGTTATTGCCGGAGAGAGAGAAGTTAAGGCCCTGGAGATCAGCTGCGGTGGAGGAGGAGGAGGAGGCGCCGGAGAGGAGCATGGAGGCAGCAGCGGAAGTGGCCGAGGCCATGGCGGTTGCTGACATGGGAAGTGGATGGTTGTGTGTTCCTTCGTATGTTGAGATAAGTATAGACATATCTTCTGAACTTCTTTGCACCTAAATAAAAGAGTTGAATTTGATATGGTTATTTTATAACATATAATTTACTTTATTAGATTAGTATTTTTACCTGTTTTCTTACGGGACATGAAGCTGCAATGGTACAACGGTAGTAAGCTCGGGGACATGGATTGCCTTTAGCTATTTTCTGGCCATATTTCCTCCATTGACATCCGTCGTTCATCTGCAGAGACAACAACCCAAGAAATTTAAACCCAAACTTTGATATGTTTTTGAGGAATTTACGGTCTTTGAGAAATGTTTTCTCTTTTCTTATAAAAATAGAAGTGAGAAAGATATTTAACCAAAAGTTGGACAGTTTGACAAAAAACAAAAAAAAAGTTGTACTCTCTAATCAACCAAATTAAGCGAGATAATTAAAGTTGATGGCTATAAATTTTCTAGATATAGTAGTGAATCATTTCTCCCTAAAGATATAGTAAAATGTTTGTTTGTAAATTGAAGATACGAATTATATTACAGTCTACAGAAAACTGCAGATGATAATATATTTAGTTGAATGATATACTTACCAAAAAAAAATTAGTTGAATGATATATATATATATACCCTTAAAATTTCTGAAAATCCTTTCATAGAACGAAGGATTATACCATGTTAGCATTCATATGTATATATACTAAATAAAAAATGTGAAGAAAATGTACTAACCGTTGGTGTCTCACATCTTGATCTCACCGAAACCCTAGTTTTCTTAACAAGGTTTTGAGGCAAAATCTCATCTTCATCTTCATTATCATCTCCATCATTCTTAAAACCATAACTATTCTCTGATAGAATCTTATTATTGTTACTAATCTTCAACGACATTGTTTCTTGAATATGATCAATATCTAACTTCTCATTTGGATTATTCAGAGCCTTGTATTCAATCCCTACACTCAACCCTTGATTACTACCTTTTTCATTATCATCTAAATTTTTGTTATCACCCGCTTCCTCCATTATATCTTTACTTTTTTCTTCTTTGTTCGTCATCAAACCACTTGAAACTGGTGACTTTAACCGTCTGCCTAGGCTCAACGAGACAAGTTCTTCGCGTTCGTTAACTATTTCTTTGTCTTCATTTTCGTCTTTTTCTTTGTCTTGATGATGCCCTTTTGATGAGAACTTGTTTAGTTCTTTATGTTGGACCATTAATTGGTGGTATTGTGCTTGAAGGATGTCAAAATCTTTCTTGATTTTACTCAATGATGACTTTAGTCTTCGATTTTCCTCTTTAGCCTCCTCCATTTCGACTTTAGTTGAGTCCAACTGATCTCATTATACGTTTATAATATTTGATTAATCAAGATATTTAACAAATAAACGAAGATCTATCGATTGGTTAATCTATCCTCAATTCGATATGCATGCCTTAAAAATCCTATACATAGTTTTTCTTTCTTTCTCATAATTATTGTTGTTGTGATATAAATGAGCAAATTATTCCCTGGTATAATATATAATAAACATGATCTAATTAATTTGGAAAACAAGATGCAACTCAGGTTCCACATACAAGTTTTTTTATAGACAGAAAAATATGAAACTGACAAGAGTTTTGAAGATCTAAATTAATATACTTTTAGAATTCAAATAAGATTCATTGATTTATAAGACTAGTCAATATATATCAGTTTATTGAAATGGATTTTGGATATAGAGCAAACGATTAACCAAGAACATCTATGTGAGAAGGTTATGAAAATACACATGTATATATGTGATTTTAAGGATTGATTTTTGCAATTTATAGACGACGTCTAAATATTTGAAAACTGTACAAAAAGAAATTTATGATACCTTGGATCTTATAATATGATCGTGTTCTTGATGAGAATCTTCGTGAGATGAATCAAGTTTTCTCATCTCCTCATGGCTTTCTTCTGTTCCATGACCACTCCTCAAGAAATCTTCCTTCTCCATATTATAGTCTCCTTTGATAAAAAATTTATAAGCTCTCATGTTTTCTTTTCGGAACTGTTGATTTCTATATATGCAACCTATGCATCCTTTGACTATGCCAATTAAACAATTCACAAAAACATGCAAGTCTCCTATATTAATGTTGAGAGAACATGATCTCTATAATATATAAAAATTACCAAAAATCTAGTGTATAAATATTATTAAATTCAATTAAATTTACATAGTCTTGTAACGGAATAGTCTCGGAGCTTTGTTTTACGGTAGGTTGAAATTCCAAAATCAGAAATTAAATACCATTTTATAGAGTTTTTGTAGACTAAAAAATAAAAATATTGAACCAACTAAGTGGTGGTACATTTATTTAATTTATACATTTTATGCAGCAATGTTTCAACCCATGAGAAAAACAAGCACGCAACTCTGAAATCTTGAAAGGTCAACAGCCAATCCAATTGAACAAAAACAAATAAGTTTTTTTTTTTTTTGTCGGCCACAAAAACAAATAAGTTAATAACAATGTATACGACCAAATATGGATGAGATATTATTATATATATACTATTGATTGGTTTTTCTTTTAAACAAATACCAACACACGTACTTAATATAAACAACAATTGTGCATCCGATTTATTAGGAAAATAAGAAAGAAGAATATTGTTCGTGGATCGATAGTGTCGACTAATTGGAAGAGAAGTATTCAACTTTAACGCTTTATGTTATAAACAGCAAAGTCTCAACAACAAACACTGTTAATTTGGAGCCGAAGCCGAAATTATGGACCCACCGGACAACATTGCTGCTAAAGAACAACGTTGAAATTTCTTGATCACATCGTTACAAGTTTATCTCTATCTTTTATTTTAATAAAATGCTAACCTATCTCTTACTTACTATATACGAGACTTCAAGTGGTAGCGACAGAACAAAATGTCTAGATACAGGCAAATGGATAAGTATGGATAACAGAAAAGAGAATGAACCAAAATATGTAATGACAATCCAACAGACTTCTTGCTAATGTAACTAGTCTAATTAATATTAAAATTTAGCTAATTTACATTTCCAAGGCTTTTTCTATACTCCCTCCGTTTCATAAAGAGTGTCGTTTTAAGGTTTTATTTTTGTTTCACAAAGAGTGTCGTTTTAGGTTTTCAATGCAAAATTTAATGATTTTTTATGTTTTATGACTATTAGTATTCTGCAGATTGTTTTACTATTGGGCAGATTATGTTTAGGTATATAGTTAATGATGTTTTTGTTTAGAAAAAATAAAAAATTTAATGTTTTCTTAATCTGTGTGCAAAACTCTAAAATGACACTCTTTGTGAAACAGAGGGAGTATTACTTTTTAAGTCAATATAGCTAATCAATAGATCATTTTTTTTATAAAACATAAAAACAAACGTTCAAACATGGTTTCGTCTTAGACCATCTCCAATGGTGAGAGCTCATGGGAGGCTCTCACTATTTTTTATGTATAAATTTTTTTGAAATCATTAGATGAGAGCTTATGTTTTCTCCAATGGTGAGAGCTCATGGGAGGCTCTCTTGTTCTTCACACGAGCATAGCTATACACATAACAACACTTGCATCTACAAAAAGTTGTGGTTCTGAAGCAAAATAAATACAAGTAACACCATGACATAAGCAATACGACATTTAAATGAAGAACAGAACATAAAAGAGTTAACAAGAAGTTGTCATCTTCTGTTACTTGTCTTCTTCTTTTACTTGTACTTGCGATCTTCTTTTACTTGTCACCTGCAAATGACAGAAACAAACAATTTAGAATGAAGAACGACAAAAAAAAATCATTGAAGCAGAAAACAGTAAACAGTTTCATATGATGCCTTAAACAATTCATCCAAAAGGAAAAATTGTAATGCATAAATTGATTCATTGATTCATTGATGTATAAACTGCGCCTGGAACATGTTAAATATATGTGCTTATAATTTGCTATAATCCTGATTCAAGAACCACAACCACCACACCATAACTCAGTATTTCCACTAGCTACAGAATCAACAACGGCAAAACTGAACACACCCATTGTACATAAACTCTGAAGCACCATAAACAATCCAACACTTATCAACAGCCTTATCTAACCAAGCTAACAAAAACAAATAACAATAGTGGGTATATGACAAACCGTATCAACAAGTTTCATGGATACTTATCAACAGCCTTATCTTTCAAGTGCATCAATCAAACTGTATCAACAATTTCAAGACTTTCTGCAAAGCAATCAATGATACGGAAAATAATGAAATCATTACCATAGACACATATAGAGATAATGGATTTGCAGCGGTTTGATTTTCTAACACTGATACCTTCTATCAACAAATTTCTAACATCGGAGGGAGAACCCTAATTGACCAACATCAAACTACAAGATTTAATCTAGAAAAATTGTGGAAAAGGATTAGATTCATACCATTAAAAACAAACAAGAGCTTTCTTCATCGATTACTCTCAGACTCGAGAGAGATGCATCTCCGATTTGCTTTAATCTCCCATCGCCGATCGTGACAAGTGGCTCTGGAGATGAAGAATCCGGCCGAACGAATGTTCATTCACTATAATTCACCCTTAATTCTACCCTCAATCGCCATAATCGTCAGAGCAAAACTCATTTTCTCCATCGCCATTGCTCTCGGCTAAAGAGAGAGATAGTCGGGAGAAAAATGAGAAAAGGAGAGAGAGTTTTTTTGTATTATGTTAAAAATTGTTAACCAATTAAACCGTGACACGTAGTCGGCTCTCTTCACTTCTCAAATCTCTCTTAAGAGATACGGCTGTTCCCATATTTAAGCTTTTTGATTTATTTTTTGCTATTTTAAATCAGAGAAACCCTCAAGAGAACTTCCATATTCCACCGTTGGAGATACCCTTAGAGTTGATGAGTTTGTTGTGCCACTCACGTATACGTATCAATGTTTATTAACAAAACAATGACACTAGTTTTTCCAAAATGCAAAGAGTGACCAAATTCCATTGTAGTTGCTGCATCGATCGTTCTAGAAGCATCAAATGAAGTTTTTTTTTTTGATAAATTGTACTTATATGCAAATTATTTTATCAAAAATAACTAAATAAGCATATCTATGTAAAGTTCAAATCATATACATTTTATTGGATCTGATTATTATTTTTGTCTACTATTGGATCTGAATCAAAATGCAGAATAACGTAACATATATTAATGTATTGTGGAGCAGTGGAATTTTGATATATTATCAGCGATTAGAACTTTCACTATTGTAGATCAACAATCTGATTACCAAGAAAAAAAATATATGACTCAGCTGTGATATACATGAGTTTACAAAAACGAGCACTCCAAATTATGAGCTTAATTCATACATTGGTGACATTACGCTAATAAAATATCTTTATAATGCAATTTTCTTATCATTAATAAAATGTCAATTTTTGTTGAAAATATATACTTCTACGTTTTTTTTTATAAGATGTTTTAGATAAAAAAAAAAACACAAAGATTAAGAAACTATGATTTAATGCGTAGCAAAAATTAATTCAACTAGTAAAAATATAAATTTTGTTTTGAAAGTTGAGAAAATCAAATAATATGAAACAAACAAATAAAAACTTGTAAAACATTTTATAAAAAGAAACATAAAGAATATTACGCAGATTTAAATCTTGGTGAGTGACAACTGACAAACAGTAATAATATTTACAAAAACCACTAAAGTATATGCTATGATAAAAAAAGTATGATCAAAACTGTAAATGTCGAACACAAAAGTAAATGGTCATATATAATCAATCAGCTTATAATTTTTAAATCACTTGTGGCTTTCCTACAAACAAAATTCCAAAGGAAAGTTTAATCAATTTCAAATTGCATTTTTTAAAAAGTTAGCTAGTAGTTTGTCTCTTTGTCTTAACTAAGTAGTCTTTAATTTTTGGCCAAATGGTTGGTAGACTTGACATTCAACTAGTAATATATTATACATTTGCTACACATAAATATAACGCTAGAGTTATAATTAATTTCACCAACAAAATTGTAAGTTTTATGAGTTTTAAACTAGAAACTAATTGACCATACATTCCTCTCAGTTTGATCTTAATATTTGATGTAGGATTTTTAATTAACATATAATTTCATGATATGTAGATTAAAAAAAATTAGTATACTCATATTTAAATTCGGTAGAATGGATGTTATTGACAAAATAATTTTTTTTTTTTTTTTCATTTTGGTACATAATGAATTTATCATGGACATATCACATGTGATTGTTAATTTGATATTAACAAGCACATATTTAAATGGACCACGATCTGAGGCCTTTTGCTGGTTGCGTAGAGTTATGTACATGCCATTGACATTTTAGAATAAAATAGTCAACTTGTTGACTTTAGTGTTTTAAACCTCATCATGTCTTTAACTTTTCTCTAAAAATTGTTAGAAACATTTTCTACAATTAGCAAAAGAAAAAAAATCCGGCAGGAAAAAAAGAAAAACATCAGCTAAATTCGTCGCAGCACAAAATCCGATAAAACCGTAATAAGTAAGGGAAGACAGGGGTATATTTGGAAATAGACAAAAAAACGCAGAAAGTAGTGTTCCAATTACAAAACCCTAAACCTTAATTGCTCTCGCCTTCTTTGGCTTTTCATCTTTATCTGTCTCTCCTCTTAACCTCACACAGATATCGACTCTAGGCGATTCAAGTGAGCTCTCATCCTTATAATTTCCTCCTCAAGGTAAAATTTTGACAGCTCTACATCGCTAAACCATTGTTGTTTGGAAGTATTCTCTTCTGATTTTGCTTTTAGATTGTTTACTCTTTTTTGAGCCTTTGTTTGTGTAATCTACGAACTGATTTATGGTTTTGCGTTAATGGGTTCTCTTTGTTCTTACAGATTTTGGATAAAGTTTTGATTTTTTTTTGGTTCGCAATGACGCTGCTCGAAGCTATCTCCAACGCCGTAGCGAATCAGGACAAGGTCGATTCGCAGTCCGATTATCCATTCCCTCTTAGCCACGATGGTATCTTCGCGAATCTGAAACCGAAGCTAGAAAACCCTAATCTTGGTACCCTAATCAATCCAATTTCCGGGTGGGGAATCTCCGGAAGTGATGTTGAAGTCATCGATTTGGGTAAAAAGTTTTCATCTAAGCTCAAAAGAAAGCTTAAGGATACTAACGGGTTTGTCAAAGATGAGTTTGTGAAGATGTTGAAGCAGTTTCTTGAGAAAATTGGTGAGAAAGTTGGGATTTCAGAGGCTGAGCCTGGGATGGTTTTGGAAGATCAAGCTGGTCCTGAGATACAGATACTGATGGAGAAAAATGGGTTTTTGATGGGTAGAGATGTATCTGGTTTAGTGTTGAAAGGTTGTATTAGTCTAGAGATGTGGGAGCTAGTGGAAATTTTGATTTCAAACTCCTTGGTTGATCATTCTTCATATTCTTATTTAGTTAGCAATCTTGTTGAGAAGCAAAGGTCAGATTTGCTTTGCGTAGTGATCAAAGAAGCTTCAGATCTTGGGGCAACAGAGCTACTTTTGATCTTGAAGTATTTTCTTTACCCATCAAAGGAAGCAATTACCACTATGGCTAAGGTAAGAGTAGAATGGGAGAGTCAGGCTATGTTGGCTATTGAAAAGGTGAGCAACACAGAGCTATCAAAGAAGTCTAAAGTTGCTGAAGAGGCTTCGATCTTGCTGATGGTTGCTCATGACGGGTTTTCTACCTCTGAGCTTTGCCTGCATTACTTGTTAGCTTCACGGAACGTTGATGAAGTCATGTTTGCATCTGCAGTCAGTAAGTTGAATGGCAATGAGATGAGTAGCTTTATTCGATACCTCTCTAAATGGATGAAGAAGTATGAAATGTTCCCTCAAGCTGGTCCATGCCCTAAAGCCGCCTCCAAGCTCGGTTTGAAACTATGCAACTGGGTTCCTGAACTCGCAGACATAACCAAATGTTTGGGACTTATTATCGATGAGAACTTCTCCACTCTGGTTCTGTACTCGGATTTGCATGAAGAGCTAAAGTCTATTGCAAGAGTAGCGGATGGTTTAGCTTCAGAATCAAAACTTTGCTGTTTTGTGGCTAATGTGGTTGAAAGTTTGAAACTTGGAGCTGCCCGAAACTAGATTTTCACAGTTCTCAGTCTAGATGGCGTTTGATGCAACCCTGTTTTCACTTTTTATATGTTCTCCAGTGCCTTTTGTATTTTCTAGTTTCAGTTCATCCTTTTACGAAGTACAATTTTGAGAGTTTGTCTCCAATCTCTGCACATTGCCAATCTTACCACAAAGCCTTCTAAATTCTAAGATCGACTAAAGTGGTCTTCATGGTTTAAAATTGTTTTCTTTTCCAAAGATTCTTTGCAATACAACAGCTCACTTTGTTGAAGAATAGAGCACAAGTTGCTCGACGAATTAAATAAAACGTTCCTTTACGAACCCTCGCGAGACCTTACTTGCCGCAAGATCCAACGGCTAATGTATCATCACCACGAGCCTTCACTCTAGCTGAGGTTGAAGAAGAAGAAGAAGAAGGGGCAAGAATGTAATTATGTCCACAAATGCTTCATAGTTACGCAGCTGAGTTATTACACTTGTTCCCAAAGTAAGCTGCAATCTGGGGACTACCCACTCTTAACTTTCTCACCCTTCTTTAAATTACTTATCTGTCAAATACTATCGTTTCCCAATTGTGTTGATACTTAATTGGTGACAGTTTTTTTTTCCATTAAAGTTTTCATTTTTTTGGTTTTTTGTTGATGGAAAAAGTAAAGATCCAACGGCTGTACAAGGACGGTGCAACAAGATTTGAACTTGGAGATGCGTTTGAAGTTTGTTTAGTTTTTAAATAGAAATAAATAATCTCTCTCTCTTGGTGGACACTGGAACTAACACCACCGATGCTCTTCACTCTATTATAGAGAGACTGAAAATCGAAAGCATCTTTAGCTAATCACTGGTAATGTTGTCTTCTTCTTAGTTTGTGTCGGAATCAGACAAGAGATCCGACTAGTTTCTCTAATTTGAGACCTACATTTGTCAAAATAGTTCGAGTACTGTAGAGTTGTGTTGAATTAACAAAATTCGAGGATCTTTTAAAAAAAATTGATTCTTATTTTGAGATCAGGTACATTTACTTGCAAGGTGAGTTCCAGATCTGGTTTCGGTTATTTTCATTTCTGGAGTTCTTTTACGGTTTGCAATTTTAGAGATTTTAGGGTAATCATTGCATTTTCTTTCTCTTCTCGTTTGATTTCATTGGTTAATGATTGTGATTTACTATTATTTAATCTTATTAATCCAAATCTTTGGCTCATGTACTCATCATGAAAGAATGATTGTATGCTTAATTTATCTTAATTTTGTAGCAGACAGTGATCTTTGCATTGAACTTAGTATGATGGATCCTGTTACAAAGAGCTTGCTTATGTATCTCTTTGATGTCTAACTCTAGATAGAACCAATATCTAAAGAAACATATGAAAATTGCAATCTTTGGTATGAAAGTTTTGTGTTATTGCTTGAGCATAATGTTTTGTGATTGCTCGGACAAATGCAGGTGTTTGAATTTTGGTTGTGGACATCATGGGAAAGCCTGCAAGGTGGTTAAAAAGTGTACTACTTGGAAAGAAACCATCTAAATCTAGTGGTTCTAAAGATAAGGAGGTGACACTTTTTTCTTTCAAAATGTTATATGATAAAACATATGGATTCTCAAATTTGTTTAGTTAGATTTTTGTGGCTGAGTTCAGTGATGGTTAGCAATTTTTTCCAGGATTGGTTACGACTAATTTTGTTCTGTCTACTATTGTCTCTGGTGTCACTTTCTGATTTCATTTCACTTTGTTGTTCTGATTTCATTTCACTTTGTTGTCTGTTTCTAATGTTTAAAACAATTCCATGGTTATCACGTGCAGAGAATTGTGAATGGAAAAGAAGTAGTGGTTATTTCAAAGATTGAAGAATCCGATGTTGTTTCGGATCTCCCATCCATTGGAAATGCAGCAATTTACACCAGTGGTATGGCAGAGACACAGAATCTAGAACATGAAGATGTTTCAGACAACGAGATACAAGTTTCCGAGGTTCAACCAACAGATTCTCAAGATGCTGCTTCTGTTCCTGATGATTCGCTATCCGAATCAGAGAAAAATCAACAAGAGATTGCAGCAGTTACCGTGCAGGCTGTGTATAGAGGCTACTTGGTAATATTTTTAAGCTTCTGTACTAAATATAGACATGGCTCATGATTTGCAGTTGTAGATGTTTTTCCTTAACTCTTTTTGTATTCTGATATGAGTTCTCTATGTGAAGGCTCGACGTGCTTTCAAGATATTAAAAGGTATAATAAGGCTACAAGCACTTATCCGTGGTCACATGGTTAGGAGGCAAGCTGTTTCAACTCTGTGCTGTGTTATGGGAATTGTCAGATTGCAAGCACTTGCTCGAGGAAGAGTGATCAGACATTCCGACATTGGAGTTGAAGTTCAGAGGAAATGCCGGTTGTATCATCAGCCTTTAGTAAATGCTCATCAACTGCTTCTTTGTGATTTCGTGTTTTTGGCTGAATAGCTTTTAACTTTGATTTGTCTTATCAGGAGAATAAAGCAAAATCTGTTGTTGATACGCATACTTACCTGGGAATCAAGAAGCTAACAGCAAATTCTTTTGCTCAGAAGGTATACTTGTTTCTGCTAATAGCCTATTACTATGTTTGAGAAGTTGAGAAGATCGTGGTGGATGATTCTGTTGCCTTTTTTCTTATCAGCTTCTAGCTTCATCGCCAAACGTGATGCCGTTGTCCCTTGACAATGATTCTTCCAGTTCAATCTGGTTAGAGAACTGGTCAGCTTCTTGCTTCTGGAAACCAGTTCCTCAGCCAAAGAAAGTATCAGTCAGAAAAACTCAGAAGAAGTTTGCCAGTAATTCTCAGATAGTCGAGGCTGAGTTTGCTAGACCAAAGAAGAGCGTTCGCAAAGTCCCTACTTCAAATATCGACAATTCCCCGGTGGCACAGGCATCATTTGAGTTTGAGAAACCCAAACGCAGCTTCCGCAAGGTTTCAACAAGCCAATCTGTAGAACCTCTTCCGGCTATGGACAATTCTCAAGTTTATCTAGAAAAAGTGAAACGCGGCTTGAGGAAAGTACATAATCCCGTAGTTGAGAACTCTATCCAACCTCAAGTGGTTCCACAGATTGCAATCGAAAAGCCAAATGCTGGTTTAGAAGAAACTGTGAATGCCTTTAATGGAGAGAAAGAAGATGAAGTGGCTGAGACAGTGGTGGAACAACAACCTGAGGAGTTAATACAAACTCATAAACCATTGGGAAACAATGAAGCACTTGATTCCACTTTGGTCAACCAAATCGAAGAGAGTGAAGAAACTGTAATGGCTGAGGAAAAGGAGGATGCAAAAGAAGAGAGAACTCCCAAACAAAACCATAAGGAAAATTCAGCTGGCAAGGAGAATCAGAAATCCGGGAATAAGGCTTCTTCGGTTACTACTACTCAAACCGCCGAGTGTCAAGAGAGTGGTAATGGTAATCAGACTAGTAGCCCGGGAATACCGAGCTATATGCAGGCGACTAAATCCGCTAAAGCAAAGCTGAGGCTACAAGGCTCTTCTTCACCTAGGCAACTGGGGACTGCTGAGAAAGCCAGTAGACGTTACTCTCTACCATCCTCAGGTAATAGTGCAAGAGTCACTTCTCATTCTCCTAAAACAAGAGTGTCTCACTCAGGTGGCAAAAACGGGAATAAGACAGAGAAACCTCTTCTTTCGTCCCGAGAAGGAAACAGTAAGTGTCCTAAGCGAAACAAGATTTGTCACAATGATTATCTTATGGAAATTTTCTCATATAACTTTTCTTGGATTGGTTTTGGTTTTGCAGGGAAGACAACTCCGGTAGAGTGGAAGAGATGACTGATCATCTGGTAAAGAAAAAGCTGAGGTCTTTTGAGGTTTCTAAACTACAATATTTTACCATCTATCTAAATAGTTAGTGTATGTTTGTCTTTGTCCTGGTGTTTGTCTTTGTGTCATGAGTCGAGAATGTACATCATAATAGGGTTTTTTTGCTTGTGTGTGGAATCTTCGTTTTCCGTTTTAATCCTACATTACTTCTATTACATTCAAAATAAAATAAAAAAACTTTAGATGTTTATGGGATATGTAATGAACAAATAATTCTCAAGTTCCTCATATGTTGTGATAGAGATCCTCAACTTTTCTTAAAAGAAACATGAAGTTTAGCTTTTCTAACAAGTTGAACTAAATATTTTTAAATTTATTGAATGGATATATAGCCCAAGGATCCTAAGTTTGAATGAATGATTAAGGAGGGAAGGGGTCATAAGTAATTAAAGGAAAAAAAAAACACAAAAAAAGGAAAAGCATAAAGGATATAATATTGAGCTCAAAGAAGCAAGACTGAATTTCATTGCATGGAAAAAAAAAGCTTGAAGTTACAAAAGTTGAAATTAACACAAGCTTTCGAACCAGCTTCTCCTTCATTTTATTTATTATTCTTTTTGAATAAACACTTTTTCCCTCTTTAAAGAGGGCGTTGCTTCTTCTTGAATATCGATTTTTATCAAGCCAAACCTTCTTCTTCGCATATTTACTATACTTTCTTGGATTTACTATAATTTATTGGACTTAGTTTTGCCTCTCTTAGCATAACTACATCTTATTATTTATATTTGTTACATAACATGATTTTCATCTATATTTTGACAGATTTTTTTTTACTTAATCAATTTCTTGCTTCTTTTAAAATCTCTATGTATAAACATTTAGACACACACACACATATAATATATAACGGCTATATATATAACGGCTGTCCATGTCAGGAGAAAGGGAATGTTCCAAAGATATCACTAAGCTCTTTGGTGATTCCATTTGAAAGAGACATTGTGTGTGAAAAACAATCCTCAAAAAACAACACAAGACTACACCTATGAGACTATATGTGTATGTATGTATCATCCATCATTCACCTTATCCAATAAGCAGAAAATGTAGACATATCACATATATATCGATAAAAAATAAAATGTATATGTGAATGTTAAAAATAGAAAAAGTTTGGAAATGAAAAAAAAGAAGAAAAAAAAAGAGAGAGATATGCTTAGCTTCCCAAGAACAGAGTTCCAAGTGTAAACCCTTTTTTGGTTCAAACTTGTCAGAAGAGAGTTCTTCTAAAACCAGCCTTTATATATGCTTCCTTCTTACCAATCTTCTCTCCATTCCAAAAAACAAAGAGAGAGAGAGAGAGAGAGAGAGAGAGAGAGAGAGAGAGAGAGAGAGAGGGAGAGAGAGAGAGAGAGAGAGAGAGAGAGAGAGAGAGAGAGAGAGACAAAACTCTCTCTTCTTCTTTAACCTTTTCCATTTATATAATCTCTCAAGTTGTACTTTGAGAAACAAAACATTGTAGCTAGTATCTACATATTATATATACTGTTAAATTTCTTCGAAATGGGCGTTTCAATTCGTAATAGAGGAACAGTTCTTCTCCTTCTCATCGCGTTTTCGGTACTTCAAACAAATAAGGTTACGGGTCTAAGATGGGACAGAGACATGAGGCTGCAGCTTCTGTTTGTTCATCCTTTGCGTGTTCTTGTAGAGTCCGAGTCCGAGTCCGAGTCCTCTTCATCATCAAAGGAAGGAAATTTAGATACAAATGGAGATTTGGCGCCTTCTCCTTTCGTTATGTCTGATCCTAATCAATCTGTAAAAAGAATGATTGGAAGAGGATCTGATCCTATACACAACAAATACAATAAATGCTGACGTTTTTACTAAAAAAAAAAAAAAAAAAAAGAAAAGAGGTAATGTTCTGTTTTTGCAAGTAAAGCTAAGGCTATACTCTATTTCTGCAGTGTCAGTAACTCTATTTTCTTTCAGTACTCTGTTTTATAAAGAAGGTTAATATTTGTCTCTTATAATCCTTCATGGGATTAAGTTTACATTATATATCATTGTTCTTTAAAACATGTCTTGCATTATATATTGTTTTTTTTTGGTAATTTGCATTATATATTGTTTGATATATTATTATATGAATATACAAAACTTCATTTGTTCTTTGTGTGATTCTCTCTGTTTCGGATTGAATTGGTTCTGATTAATCAGATAATTAAGCAACAGTCATCGTGACCCATCTCTTCTTGTGAAGTGTTTGATTAATAGTCAAACAAATTCATGGGATATGGAATTAATTAGGACTCTTATTGATCCTAAGGACATTCCTATGGTATGTGCCCTGCCTTTGGGCTTACAAAACAGTCCGGATGTCATGGGGTGGCACTTTACAAAAACCGGAAAATATACGGTTAAGTCTGGATATTACATAGAACAAATGATGAAACAAGGCGAAAATCAAAGTCGTTATTTTGGACCGGATATACGGCCGTTACAGGCTAATTCATGGAAACTTCAATGTCCACCGAAGTTGAGACACTTCATTTGGCAAGTGCTTACTGGATGTGTGCCGGTAAATTCAAATTTAAGGAAAAAGGGTATCAATTGCGAAACGGGTTGTGGTAGATGTGGGGCACCCGAAGAAACAATTAACCATACAATTTTTGAATGCCCCCCAGCCCTACAAACTTGGGCACTATCGCAAATACCAACGGTCCCTGGAATTTTCCCTTCATCATCACTATATGTGAATATGGATCATTTATTTTGGAGGACACCAACGGATTCCCATAGTTCCAATTTCCCTTGGATTATGTGGTACATCTGGAAAGCACGGAATGACAAGATACATGAAAACATTGACAAAGATCCCAGAGATACTCTGAAATTAGCGGATATTGAAGCAAATGCTTGGACTTTAGCTCAACTGGAGATGGTCAAGGACGTACCGTCCCGTGAGTCAGCTGAGTCAGAGGTTATAAACACTACAGGGTATCGATGTTTTATTGACGGTTCTTGGAAAGACAGTGACAACTACTTGGGTTTAGGATGGTTCTGTACACTACAAGGTGAGGATGAACCAACCATGGATGCTGCCAACCTCCGACGAAGTCTCACATGTCTACACACAGAAGTGGAAGCATTAGTTTGGGCCATGAGATGTATGATTGGCCAAGACAAACGCGAAATAAGTTTCTATACAGACTGCTCAGACCTGGTGAAGATGGTGTCTTCCCCGACGGAGTGGCCAGCTTTTTCTACCTATCTAGAGGCTATTCAGAGCGACAAGGATGAGTTTGATTTTTTCTCTTTATCTTTGATTTCTCGACGTGCAAATTCAAAAGCGGATAATCTGGCACGAAATGTTCGTACCCAACCGCATCTAATTACCTATGTAAACAATATTCCCCAAAATTGGCTTGTATAAGTTAATCTAATAAAGTTGTTGACAAAAAAAAAAAAAAAAAAAAAAATCAGATTATTACCAGTATTAACATCAAGCATAGATGAATCTTTGAGATAGCCAGCCCAGTATTAACATCAAGAGTTTTGGTTCTTGAGCCCAAATCCATTAAACTGGGCTTTAAATTTGAAATAAGCCCATTAAAAATTCGTATCAGTGTATGATATGTAAACTAATTCAAATGATTTGGGGTTATAAGATTCTAGGTTGGCAACTTCACGAGTAGGGCACGGTTGGTGAGAAACAAAGAGTCTTTTACACACAAATATTTAAAAACATCCCATCTCTCTCTGGCTCTCTCTATATTCCAAAATGTTATAAATGCGTGTTTGAACGAATATCTGCTATACTGTGGTTGCTTGTTGTTTTCGATCATTTTTAATTAACACTATATATGGTTCTGAGAGGTATCATTAACATTACAAACTTAATTACCTACTTATTGGAGATGGCAAAAATTTTGAACTCGTCAAGAGATTGAATTGAACAAAAGAACTGATCACCGTGCATGTCTTCATTTTCTACTTGACAAAACAAACTTCTTGAAATTTGCCCGTGATCTTCGGCTTTTAATTTCCTAATGATCAAGGAAATTTTTATTTTTCAATTTACAAGTACTTTCTGACATAGTTTTTGTTTGTCAAGATGTTCATCAAGTAGTAAAAGTGGACTATATCATTTTTGATGTTCTTCACTTCTTCTTTCTCTAAATCGGAATTTATTTTGGAGAGATTTGATTTGTTATGCTGATATATTTCATAGAACTGTACATAACCGTAGAAACTTCAAAATACAAAAACCCGTCTTAAATTAAGCACTGTCGATGACTCGATGTAGTCTACATGTTAAATTTATATACAGAAAATAATTTTGATCATTTTAATTTAGGGCAAAAACTAATTTATAATCAAATCGCATGGGGCATTTGACGTATTGTCTTTTGTGTAGCAATTGGGATCCACATTTGTTGTTTCTTGTTATAAGTGGTCAATTGACTGATTAGCCAGTATGCAAAAACAAAAATAAAATAAATGTGTCAATAAGCGATTTAGGTTAAAAATAAACTAGTACTAAAACTTAAAACAACAAGCGAATTACAAAAATAAAAATCAAATAATTTCACTAAAATTGAATGTATAGTCTTACATATAGCTGCCAACCAATTTTTTTTCTTATAAATATATATAGTTATATAGATATATATTTATTTTAGTTATAGGATATAAATGGAAGTCCATTATGATAATAAAAAAATGTGATTGATAATGCGATTATACTCCAACAAGGTGTCAGTGTCGATTGCTTGTGGGAGCATGTCCCTTGGAGTGACTCGGATACGCATTTATTTTGTTTATTCAATTATTTATTTACTTCATGAGCCACTAGTGGCTACCAATTAATTGATTTTATTAATCAATTATTTTTCTAATGAACTAAGTGATTTATGCGAAGCAATTGCACGTGAAAACAACGGTACAAATAAGGATCACTGCTGAGTTTTATGTTTTCAAATTTGGAAGATACTTGAAAATAAAATGAACGTTAAATTTGTAATTTAAATTATAAATTAAATAGTATTATACTAAAAGTAGATCGCTCGTATCAAATTTAAGAAATTGAATAACATTTTTTATATATAGATAATAGTATATGTATATATCTATTTAAAAGTCGGTTTCAAATATCTTCGAATTTATTTTGCTCGATTCTAAGTTCTAACTATCAAAGAAAAAGGTTTAGATATACTAGATGTCATTTGCTAAAAAAAAGAAAAGAAAGTATACTAGATGTCTAGATCACTAGCTAGCTAGTATAATCTTATAATCTAAATCATTTGTTGTACTTCTTTCATGTTACCAAACATATTTTCACCCTTATAAACCTAATTACATGTCGAAGTCTTTGTCTTACCAAATATAGATAAATTTCATTTCACAATGACTTCTTTTTCTGAAGCGACTTTTTTTCAATGCTTAGGCATATAATAATTTTAACAAATGCTTCGGCAAATCCGTCTATAGCGTTGAGATATATAGTCAACACTCAACAACCCTATTTATATATTAAGGGCTACAAAGGGGCATTTCATTTGCAAGTACCCTTTTACTTCGTATCCAAAAAGAGTCTTTGATATTTCCCCCTCAAAACGAGGTAATCGGAAAAACAAATTAGGGTTTTTTTGGGAGATCAGTTTACGAAGAAGATGAAGAAGAGGCAAGTGGTGATAAAACAGAGAAAAATCTCTTACACTATGACTTCTTCTTCAAGCAACGTCCGTTACGTTGAGTGTCAGAAGAATCATGCCGCTAATATCGGCGGCTACGCTGTCGACGGTTGCCGGGAGTTTATGGCAAGCGGCGGCGATGACGCTTTGACGTGTGCTGCTTGTGGCTGTCACCGGAATTTTCACCGGAGGGAAGTTGATACGGAGGTTGTTTGTGAGTATTCTCCTCCGAATGCAAACGACTAATTAACGAAGATGGAAAAAAGGAAGAAAGGTAACTAAAAAACAAAGAAATTAAAAAAGGAATCTGCTTTGGATTTGATCTATTGATTTATATTAGATCGAGATGTATTTATGTATGTATATGGTTATTGATGTATATTCAACTACTTACATTAACGCCGATCTATATGATAAATGATTTTTCAATCCCGATGTGATGGAGTGTTGCATACTTCAAATCTATGTGTGAGTGTGTCTATAATTAAGAATACAATATGTGGAACAATTTTATTTTTTTGGCGGATCTTGCTTTTGATTATTTTAATAACCGAGAAGTGTTTAAGCGTTTAAATCATTCCGTATAACGCAAGAGTCTCCAATCGAAACTAATTTTTCTTCATATTGAGCTAATCACATTTGGACGTCTATATATATATTTGTATGCTAATGTTTTAACTAAGCAGGATACATAATTAAATATATTTCTTATTTGAAGGAGATGAATCTTTAAGAGCACTTAGTTTGCGCTGAAAGAGATGAATACTTGGGAGCATTTGCGATCTCTTTCAAATTTCAATGCTTATTTTATGTATTAATATATTTTGATGTATATCTATACTGCACATGTAGAGTACGAAGCATATGGTCAATGACAGCAACAGAAAATGGGGATATACAGACTTATAAATGGAAAACTCAAATTAATAAGCAAGTTAAATCTTTGTTCTTATTCTTATATTGACTTATAGCGAGATAGGTGAGTTTTGTTGAAAATAAGTAGTTAAAAAGATTAATTTTATTGTAAAACAATATTTGGATCTTAGCGTAAATAAAATATATAAGTAATAATGCATACAAGTACCAATAATCATATGTTTCTTCCCCTTGTCTCTTTCTGTTGAATATTCGACCCACCACTATACATACAAAAGACTCCGATAAAATGTTCAACACATTAAAAAAATAAAGTTTCATGTACATATGAAAATTTAAATCAAAGTAAATTAATGTTATGAAGAAAATATTATTAAAATTTATGACTTTATCTTTATCAAAAAAAAATATATTAAGTCGAGTTCATGTACATATTAAAATGAATAAAGCCAGAAGTCATGTGTCAAAGCACTACTTATATACTCCCTCTGTTTCACAAAGAGTGTCATTTTAAAATTTTGCACACAGATTAAGAAAACATTAAAAAAAATTTTTTTTCTAAACAAAAACATCATTAACTATATACCTAAACATAATTTGTCCAATAGTAAAACAATATACAGAATACTAATAGTCATAAAACATAAAAAATCATTAAATTTTGTATTGAAAACATAAAACGACTCTCTTTGTGAAACAAAAATAAAACCTTAAAACAACACTCTTTATGAAACGGAGGGAATATCTAATTAATAGACGGTCTGGTCGTTATTATTCTTTTTTGTTGCAAGAAAAGATCGTGATGGAGTTTTTTTTGTTATGATTATGTTAAAGTAATTTAATTTAAAACACAGCGGCCCACATTTCAAATCATGTTATCAAATCGTTTAGGTTCATGTTTTTCAATTCGCTTCTATTTTATAACAAAGGTTTGAAGCCATTAAAATAATATCATAAAGCAATATAATACCACCAAAAACATATTGGCTACTTTTGCTCTCATCAAAGTGACTCGAATTTGTTGGAAAAGACCACTGTAGTTTTTCTTATTGTAATATAAAAACTCAAGATAATTACTCTTTTGGAGCATACATTACATATTGTGATTTTGTGATTATTTTAGACAATTTCTTTTAACATAACTACATAAGTAAGCTAGTAACATTTGACCAAAAAAAAAAAAGTAAGCTAGTAACTAAAATAGGCCAATGACTAAACACAGAGTTGGGCCACATATATATCCACCTTTCGGCATAACAAAATTGTTTTCGAACCCACGACCATTAACACCATTCTCATGAACTCAGGCTTCTAAGTTCTAACATTACTTGGCTCTAAAGTTTTCTAGAGCAAATGCTGGTTTTCTCGATGTTCCAAAGACCCCCAAAAAAAGAGACAGAACAAAAAAAAAAGGAAAAAAAAAAGAGTACATAACCTAGTGGTTGAGAACTGATTTGCTTTTCTCACTAAGTACATAACCTAGTGGCTATAGTAGTAAGTTTATACCCAAACAAATAAAATTCACCATTTCACTGAACATTTTGCTTTCCCTTGATGATTTGCTTTAGTGTTGGAAGCCAAAAACTGCACTCATACCATTCGGTGTTTGTCATAGCCACCTGTTCACCAATAATAACAAATAACAAACCAAACTCTTATTTATTCGAACATTTTTAAATACAATAATGCAATATTACTAAAGATTCATAATTATATCATTTTTTACCTGTATTTGTAAAGCTGCACCAAGATTATTTTTGTTCAGAGCTTGACAGAGCTGAGTGAGTTTTCCAGCAGCGTTCTTTGAGATGTCTCCACTATTTAGTTTCAAAAACAGAGCTCCTAGCTTTCTTGAGTTATCTTCTACCTTACGCTTTTCGGCAGGAGTAGCTCTTGAGTAACTCCTAATAGTTCAAATGTCTCTTTAAATAGCCTTGTCAATGTAGACACAATAGGTTTCTGGTGGGCTGATCATTCCATAATATCATGAAGAAAACATTTTGATTTTAGTATAACTTATATATAATAAATAAACCACATCTAATGATGCTGACAGGTATTCTGCTTAAATGTTATACAATGCCAATACCTGGTACATTGGAAGTATCTGCGGTCTGAACAGTTGGTGGTGGAGCTACAGGTGCTGGTTGCATTGCTACCTGGTGTGTTGGATTCATATGTCCCATTGGTGGAGCAACAGTTTGGGGAATCTTGGAGTTAATATATGGACCAACTTGTGAAGGAATGGATCGATGTGAGCCAGGACCGGGTGATGCATTGTAAGCTGGGTCAGCGGATCGCTTGGGGGAGAGATTTTTTGGTTAGTCAAAAGCTAAAATGTAGACACAATAAACTAAATACAATGGAGATGGAAGTGAATCATATACATTAAACGAATAAGAATCCATGGTTGGTTGCTGATACTGGTCCGCGTTCTTTAGTTCTCTAGGAGGATTCAAAGGAACAAAAGTAGTTCTTGATGGCTGAGCATTGCTTAATGGAGCTGGAAGAAAATATTTCTGCAGGAAAAAAAATCTTATATTAATTAAGGTTTGGTCCAAGAAAGTGATAGATTTTATAACACATGATATGAAGAAGAATAAACGGTTATGTAAAAACCAAGTAAATAGCAGAGTTTGTACCAAGTCAAACAACAGACCTTTTGATATGGCATGGAGATTTTAGACTGAGTGTTTTCTGAAGCAGAAGTGTTAGCAGCTTCTGCAAGAAACAATATCAAACAATTTAGCTAATATCAGAATGATAACTTTCTTACAAAGCAGATTAATCACATCATAGTTGAATACATACCAGGTTCCGCATACAGAGCAATCTGATTATGCAAGATTGAAAGTTCGGGTGAGAAATCGCCAGACTCAAGAAATTTTAAGAACTTCATAGCGGTTGCAAGAAGTCCTTGACTGGCCAATATCTCAGCATAACTCTCAAAGAGTTTACGTAGAGACGCACTGAATCTCTTGTTGCCAGTTACCAAAGCAAGGACAAGAGTCCTCTCCATAAGATCATATTTCACAGAGAAAAAAAAAGCTTGAGCAGAGAAATACAATTTAATGTATATATGCAAGATATAGAATTCCATACGCATCTTGAACACGCTCAGCATAAGATTTCCCATCACTTTCTTTTTCAAGGCTCCTTGACCAAATGTCTACTGTTTTGTCGACATTGCCTGAGCAAATGTAACACAGAGTTGCAGCCAACGTAAAACCAGGATCCATCAAATTTGAGGTAAGAGCATCACAGAGGCTTATCCATTCATCTCCTTCTGCAAACTGTTTTCCAACACATTCCATTAGTGTAGTTAGTGACATCAAACCATCTAGGATAAAGCATTTTCACTTCATCAAGAAAATAACTTACAGTGCAGATGAGAGCAAGTGTTTCTTTCCAGGATTTAGGTGGTCTTGTATGAACAAAGGTCATTAAATCATTGTTCATCATTGCAGAGACAACCTGAAACAGATTAATATAATAGTTGTTTAATTTGCAAACCAACAAGAATATAAGATGGCACTTACAAACATATCAAGTAAAGTTGATATACCTTCATGTAAGGTGCATTGCTCATCCTCATATATATATATATTGCGAGTACTCTCCCACAATTCTGTACCACCAACATGAGCAATCACTAAAGCGTCAGCCATCTTATTTGCAGATAAACACTGAGCCACTGCTCCCTTGTAATCTCCCACAATCAATGAACGTTGGATAGCATCATCAAATGTTGGATAAGAGCTCTCTCCTTCTGGTTCTGGCATTTTCTTAGTTTCTTCCTCGTTTGTAGAAGAACATGTAGCATGAGGCTCGTTAACAGTTTGATCCTTTTCATCAGAAGGTAAACTAAAGCCAAGATGGGTACGCAACTTCGTCTTTGCGTTCCCATCTTCTTCAAGCATGATTTTCAGCAATCCCCATGTTTCCTTCTCTTCCTCGGATTTGCAGAAACAGTGTATTGAAACAGAGAAGAAAATTGTAAGTTTGTGTTAGTTATCTAAGGATGATTATATTTGATAATTTTCAGTCACAGTAAGACTTACTCGGCCTCTTCTGTTTTCTTCTCGTACAAACCCCTAATTGAAGTCTTCTCTCCATTTTCTAATGCAGCTTCAAATTTAGAAATTCGATTCACCAAACTTTGTTCTGTGGCCAGGGTATGCAGAAAAACCTGACAAATGGACATAAGAGTCAATGAACTAAATAAAATAGAACATAAAACAGAATAAAACAATCTAAAACCACACCTCAGATGCCTCAGGGAGATTTTTGTTGAACGAAATAAGCTTTCCTCCAAATCCAAAAGATGCACCAACCGGGCATTTTCACCATTTTGGTGCTGTTAAAAGATCTGCAACAAGATGATGGAATAAGAAGTGATGTTGGGGGTTCTTTGATGCTCCCAGCAAAGCAATGATTCAAGCATATTGTTCTTGTAGGACATTACCTGAATCTAAATTGTTCTCCACAGTACCATAGCTGCTGCAACCCTACATTGATGCATACTTTCATGAGTTTATTTTCATTTTATTTATTTATATGGGTGGGAAACTAACAAGAATTCATAGGTTCATTTTTTTGTATACGTCATAGATTATTCACACAAATTTTAAACACCAAAACATGATTGTAAAGAGGTACCTCAAGGTTATAGATGTTAATTTTCCCATCAACTGAAGATGCTGATATAACTCCAGGCATCTTTGGATACCAATGAACATCAAAATTCCAATTTTGGCCAGTAGGTAACTCAGCCGCAATCTGACATAACAGACCAAAATTCCAATAAGGTACTAGTTAGCTAACAACAAAGCTATATCAGATTTATTTTCTCTTCACCTTTCTTGTCTTTGTGTTCCAGCAAATAGTTCGGCTGTCTTTCGCCCAGGTAAGTAAATACAAACTGTCACTTGGACACCACTCCATTGCAATCACACCTGTTGTATAACAAGTATCACCACTATGTTTCAACCAACGCCATGACACCAACATTTAATGATAAGAACTAGAAAAAAAAAACACAACATTGGTACATTCTCTAGTAAAGAAGATCGATGGAGATACCTTTTTGGTGGCCAATAAATGTGCGAACAGGTGATTGTAGATACCTTATGTCCAAAAGCTGACAACAAAAATCTTTAGAGACCAATATAAAGAGCCAAATTTGATTTAACTGGAACAAAAAAATTAATATGATTTGATTTACCTTCACATTTGGTGAACTATCTTCATCTGATGCAACCATTATCTGATTATAATTATCAGGATCCCATTGCAAAATTGAGCACCTAACGGTATTTTTGAAGCTGTTGATTGAAAATGAACAGATCAGGTTATGATAAGAAATCACATATGATTTCTAGTATAGCAAATTTAAAATAAATCAGGATCTCAATACTTACTCTGTTATAACCTTCTCGTTATTCACATCCCATATCACTAAGTAAAAACAATATTCATCATACGATTAGCACAAGTTGAAAATTGTAGTTAAACCTAAGTGAACCAGATCATAGAACTCTAATGCTCACCAGTAGTCCCTTTGTATGAGGTAGATGCTAAAACATGTTGAAACTCTCTATTCCATGATATAGAAGAGATTTCACTTTGCATATAAGAACCAGTACCCTGCAAGAAGACATTGTATATATCTTTAAGATACTCCAAAATTAACACATAAAATTGCAGAGATCTTGAACTACATATGACATGTTAGTATGGTACCTTTAGATAATGACAAGGCTTTGAAGGATTTGTTAAATCCCAAATACAAACTGTACCATCATCAGTCCCAGAAGCAAGTTTATTTGGGGACTTGACATTAAATTCAAGACCACGAACCTATATTACAAGACAATATAAACATCAAATAACGACGTCTTGGAAGAAAAGACATAAAATTCTGAAAGCAAAGAGATATAAACTCAGAGGTCCTTTATGTTTTGAAAGATGTCCAAGCAATTTCACCAGACTTAGAAGTTAGAACTGATCAAAAATAACAAAAAATAAAATACTTTTCATAATCAGTATTAAGTGAAGAGAGGCTAATAGATTTCAATTAGGGTTAGGGAAAATCACCGAATTGGATTCCATAAACCGATGTTCCCGTCAAAGAGGCCACCGGCGATGTGACCATCAGATCCAGATCCATAACTTCCCTAAGCGAGTCGATTAAACCGCTCAGAGCTTTTGCAATGACCTACTAGGTTCAGCTCACGATCGCTGCACTGAAAATCGAGTTAAAAATTCTCGAGATTAGAGGATGAACTAAACGACAGATCTACTACTCCGGCCATTGTTCCGGTCGCAATGAACGGAGATTCCGGCGCAATGGCAACGAAAGCGGATCTATCAATACTGTTTATGCAATCCATTGTAGGAGTGACTCGAAGAAAACGATTTCTCAAGAGTGTGGAGGGAACAAAGAGAATTTGTAATGTGTTTTCGAATGGTGAACACAAAGTAGGGATATATATAGTAAACGCGTAAGGGTAATTTCGTAACATGAACTTTTGGTGCTCCGTGAACACTACCATTCACAATCCGACACGTCATCTGTGTGTTGTTCCAATATTTTTAGAAAGACGAAAATATCCATATTCCCATTTGGATAGCAGCACAAAGCTTGTAATAGGTTTGGATGTCTTTCTTCCAAAATAAAACGAAAATTCAAAATTCTATTATTATAAGGGTGAAAACAAAAACAGAAACAAAAAGAGAAAAAACTCTAATGAAATTGATGATTGTTTTAAATATATTTCTTTTGCTAGTTGTCAAATTAGAAATATGATAATGCCATAAACTCATATTTTAAAATTTTAAAAAGAAAAAAAATGGTGATATTCACTTAAATTCACTAAATTTAATATTGGAAAGAACGTTTTCTGTAGAGCCCACTGGATCTTCTAGGGCCTCTAGGCCTTTTATTTTGATCTACATGTGCTTTTTTTATCTACAAGAATTAAAAAAAGGTGAAAAAAAAAAAGCAAAACAAATTATCAGAAAAACAGTAAGTGTCAAGAGTGGGATTTGAACCCACGCCCTTTCGGACCAGTACCTGAAACTGGCGCCTTAGACCAACTCGGCCATCTTGACTTTTTGATTCATTACTTACCTAAAACTAATATAATCATTACATTGTTTGGCTTCATTCTTAAATGTTTTGCTAAAACCTAAATCCCCTAGTTCAGAAGAGCCTATTCAGTTCTACGCTGATCAAACAAAATTAAGACATTGTAAGATCGAAACAACCAGAATCCTGCATAGTGCGATTTTAAATCTAAACATTTTGATCCACAAGTACTTTTGATGAAAAACCAAAAAAATAGAAAATTTCCACAGTTTTATATTTGGAGTTTTATTATTCTAAAAAGGACAATAATGATACTGAAAAGATATTTGACGTTGCCACTGCCAAACTTTCCAGCAGACGTCGAGGCAGTTTATACTTAAATGTGTGGATATGTATTTGTTGGAATGCAAAATCCATTACGTACCAATCTTTCTACCTATTTATTAAGTACTGAACAATAGGCAATACCAACAATAAATACCAAGCCAGTCCGATTCTCTCTTCTCCTTTGTTGTTTCATTTCCACATACCACTTGTAATAACATTGTCCACATGTTATTTTATCATGAATAATAAATGATTATTTATTGTGAAATAACAGCATCAATATATGTAATTCGAGAAAAAGAAAATAATAATTAGATGATTGAGATCATTCGAATCAATTTTTGGATAAGAAACGGTATAACGTTGAAAGGTCCAACTCATTATAATGCTCATTTGGCTTTCATCTAAAATTACTGTAATATCAGGGAATAATATGGTGATGACTACAGTCTTCAAGTGAAATGAATAGTTTAGTGGGGATACGTTTAGTAGCAAACACACTTTTGAGCGAAACAAAGTTTTTACTGAAAAATCTCAAAACACTAAAAAAAAAATATCCTTTGTAGATATTGATTTTTTTTAGTTATTATACCTTTTAATTGTATCATTTATGTATCACTTTTTAAAAAGGTGAAAACATAACAATTTAATGAATGCTGTGAAATAACAGCATCACATTTTCAAAACATAAATTACTACTCCTATCACTAACATGTAACATAGAAGAAATATGAGTTGATATATTTGAAAAAGTTGTTGCAATTAGTATTAAAAAAATTGAACAATCAAATATATACTATTATTTTACAGCTTATAACTAAAACACTAATCTAAACTGGTTTCCATTTTTCAACTAAAATGTTTGTAACGTGGATGAACCAAAATATTTATATAAAGTGAACAGCTTCTTCCTTTACCAAACGGTAATACGTACCTTTACACACTCTTTGTTTTCAAACTTGTTTCTCGAGACCAAACAAATTAATATCTATATATTTTTTGAATCAACGTATTGTGTTGAATGATTATGGAAATTGAAAGATTAGGGTTCAAGTTTCCCTGCTGTAATTTTGATCATAGTGAATATATTTTAAAGATAAATACTCTAGAATAAGTTTTATGAACAATTATAACATGTGTTCTACAAATTAGCATTAGTGAATTTACAAAATAACTATTTTACATTTATCTAACTATGTAAAATAATAAAATTAGTTACAATTTAGAATCACGACTACAATATGATCGTATGAAAAACTGAAACGTCAATCAAATGCTTATACTGTATTAGTCTTTTTAATACTAAATTTGTGCTATTTTTAGAACTTTAGAGATTGTGTGCTAAATTTGGATACCTGAAAATATTAGAGAGATAAAGTAAGAGAGAGATTAAGGAATTGATTATTTCTCATTAGCTGTAAATGTGTTGTTACAACCAGTATTAATACTCTAATGTTGACTATACAAGTATATAGATAATATTTACAAGTATTGAATTATATACTCTAATACCCCTCCCTCAAGTCCAATTCTTCAAGAAGGAAGAAAGAGACTTGAAAAAGCATATCTTGACATTAGCATCTTGAAGGTCTTGGGAGGGAGAGCTTTAGTAAATAAGTCAGCCAATTGATTATCAGTAGTAACATGAAGCAATTTCAAGAAACCAGCTCGCAGTTTATCTCGTACTATGTGACAATCGATCTCAATGTATTTTGTCCTTTCATGGAAAACTGAATTTGAAGCAATGTGTATTGCCGCAGTACTGTCACAATAGAGATTAGCTGAACCTGAAATCTTGATGTGTAAATCTTTCAGCAATTGGCTTAACCAGAGGAGTTCACAAGTAGTGTCTGCTAAGGCACGATATTCTGACTTAGCACTGCTGCGGGATGCCGTTTGTTGTTTGCGTGATTTCCAAGAGATCAGAGAATTACCAAGAAAAACACAGTAACCCGTAGTAGAGCGTCTAGTGTCAGGACATGTGCCCCAATCTGCATCAGAAAAAGCTTGAAGGCGTATTTCAGAATGAGCTGAGTAAAAAAGACCTCTTCCTGGATCACCCTTTAAGTATCTGACAATGCGATGTGCAGCTTCAAGATGGAGAGTTCTTGGTTGAGCTAGAAACTTACTGAGTTTATGAACTGCATAGGTGATGTCAGCTCTAGTGATGGTAAGGTAAAGAAGTTTCCCAATGAGAGCTCTATAGACTGTAGCGTCAGGGAGAAGCTCACCACTCTCTGTATTAAGTTGAATAGTTGAATCCATGGGTGTGGCAACCGGTTTACTGCCAAGATAACCAATACTTTCCAACAGATCCAATGTATACTTACGCTGACAGACAGAGATTCCAGTCTTGTTTCTTGCAATCTCAAGACCAAGAAAATACTTGACTGGACCAAGATCTTTCAGCTTAAAAGCCACAGCCAATGTGTTCTTCAAATCAGAAACTGCTTCATCACTGTTGCTGGCAATCATGATGTCGTCAACATACACTAACAAAGCAATGAAAGTGTTGTTGACATGCTTGACGAAAAGAGTATGTTCTGATTCTGATTGTTTGAAGCCATCCTGCAACAAAACCTCAGAAAATTTTTTATTCCACTGCTGTGAAGCTTGCTTTAGGCCATAAAGGGATTTGTGCAATTTCCATACTGCATTAGGAGGCAAAGACTCACCAGGAGGTGGTGTATATCCTGGTGGCAAATCCATATAGATTTCTTCTTCTAAGTCACCATGCAAAAAAGCATTTGTCACATCCATTTGTGTTAAAGACCAACCATGTTTAGCTGCTAGATCTAAAAGCAATTTGACAGTAACAAGCTTAGCCACTGGTGAGAATGTGTCAATGTAATCTACACCCTCTTGCTGAGTATATTCCTTAGCGACTAAACGAGCTCTGTATCGATCTATTGTCCCATCTGCATTGTGCTTGATACGGTAAACCCATCTACAACCAATAGGCTTTTTACCCTCAGGTAAAGAAACCACTGAGAAAGTGCCAGTGTTGACACAGGTTTGCAGCTCCTCATTCATGGGACCATGCCATTTTTCAGACTTAACAGCCTCTAAAAAATTCTTTGGTTCTGATTCAGAGGAGATATTGAGGATAAATTGCTGATAATCACTGTTGAATTTTGAATAATCAAGCACAGAGGATATCGGATGAGCAGTCGTACCACTGATATTTGGCAGGTCATGAACCAAATTGCAGTGATAATCATTGAGATAGGATGGGACACGAGTATTGCGTTTAGGTCTATGTGCATTAACATCAATAGTATTGTCCGATGCTACTGTCAAACCATTGTTGTCAGATAAATTGTCAGAAGAAGAAACAAGAGGAAGAGGAATGGAAGAAGTAGTGTCTGGAATTGGAAGTGGAAGAATATGGGAAGAAAAAAGATCAAGAGTGGATGAATGGAGTTCTGAAGAATGAAAAGGAAAGATGTCCTCATGAAAAACAACATTTCTGGAAATGGAAATTGAGTGAGTTTCCAAATTAAGGACCTTGTAACCCTTATATCCTGAAGGATAGCCAAGGAAAACAGAAGCTTCTGCTCTTGGGGTGAACTTATGTCTGTCTTTAGGGTAAGTGGAAGCATAACAGAGACATCCAAAATTTCTTAAATGGGAATAATTTGGTTTCTTTTGCATAAGAAGCTCAAATGGAGTTTTATTTTGAAGTAAAGGAGAGGATGTTCTATTTATTAGAAAAACAGAAGTACGAATACAATCACTCCAGTATTGAAGAGGAATGTTGGATTGAAAAAGAAGGGCTCTAGCCACATTTAGGATATGGTGATGTTTACGTTCAACCACGGAATTTTGTTGTGGTGTATCAACACAAGAAAAATAGTGTTTAATTCCTTTGGATTCTAAAAGAGGAGTGAAAGATAATTCTGGAGCATTATCTGAACGAATGGATTTTATTTTATTAGAAAATTGTGTTTCCACAGTGTTTAGAAAAGAAGGAAAAACATGTAAGACATCACTTTTATTTTTCAAAAGATAAATCCATGTCACTCTTGTGCAATCATCAACAAGAGTGAGAAAGTATTTGAAACCCTCATTAGAAATAACAGAAAATGGACCCCATACATCCATGTGCACAAGATCAAAAGGTTTTTGTGAAAGATTATTAAGAGATGGAAAAGATAAACGTTTTTGTTTAGCTAGATGACATGTCTTGCAATGAGACCAATCTTTGAGCTTTGACTTGGAAATAGAGAGTTCTTCAGAAAGAGCTTGAATCTTAGGAAATGATGGATGACCCAGCCTTGAATGCCAAAGGGAACTAGACTCTGAAACATTTAGACTGCAAACTAGAGATGAAGATGGACACTGTGATGATGGAGACTCTAAATCCAAAAAGTAGAGTTTATTTTCCAAATGACCTTTACCAATCATCAAGCCCCGAGTAAACTCCTGAATTGTGCAAAAAGAAGGAAAGAAATTAACAGAGTATGCACAATGCTGAAGAAGGGAGCTCACACTGATAAGATTTAAGTGAAAAGAAGGAATGAAAAGCACATTTTGAAGGACAAGATTATCTGACAACTTGACAGCACCAGATTGATTGATAGCAATCTGAGTACTGTTGGGAAGTTTAACAGTAGTTTCTGATATACTATTGATATCAGCAAAAAGACTTAAATTGCAACAAACGTGTGTTGTTGCACCAGAATCAATAATCCAGGCAGTAAAATTAAGGCAAGATTCCATCAGAGTGGTGCAAACAGTGTTACATGCAGATGTTGAAGCATAAGTGACACCATGAGTTTCATTGATGCTTGGCTGTTGACAGGTAGCCTTAGTAGTAAGCTGAGTAGCTAGCTGTTCAATCTGATCCGGAGACAACTGAGCCAAAGCATGAGAGACCTGATGAAAATGATCTTGAACTGCAGGAGAATTAGTGATAATATTGCCAACCACATTTTCTTTTGATCCTCTTGGACCTTGCATTTTGGAGTTGATGTTGTTCTACTGACCAAATTGTTGTTGTTGTGGGAATGAAACAGGAGGACGCTGTTGAAATTGCTTAGGAACAAATTGAGTAGCAACACCCTACTGATTCCCATAAGATTGATTGCCAAAAGACTGATTCCCATATGACTGATTACCATAAGGCTGATTTGATGTCTTGTAACCCGGAGGATATCCATGTAATTTATAACACTTGGTAACAATGTGGCCTTGAAGACCACAGTAGGTACAAACAGGACGCTGACGAGGCTTATAACCACCTGCAACAGCTCCAACAATTTCATTATGACCTGAGTAAGTATCAAATTCAGGCTGATTGTATGAAAAACCAGAATCTGACGGAGGAGACTGTGAACTCATTTGAAAGACCACTGAACCCGATTGAGGAGAGTGCTTGATTTGCTGTTGATGCTCATGCTGAATAACCATATTCAAAGTTTTCTCCAAATCAGGCAAAGGATCAAGCATAACAATCGATTCCCTGATGTGTTCATAAGAATCATTGAGACCAAAAAGGAACTTAATCACAAAATTTCTTTCAAACAAATCCATCCATTTTCTATCCAAATCACAGTCACAACCATTGCAGTGACACACTGGAAAATCATGTGCGCTCTTCACTTCTTCCCATATAGTGACTAACTTGGTATAGAAAGTATTAACATCCATAGAACCTTGACGAAGACCAGCAAGTTTTTGTTCAATCCGATAAAGACGAGGAACGTTATTCTGCTTGAATTGTTTTAATAGCTTTTGCCAGATACCATGAGCAGTTTTGACATACAAAATACTTTGACCAATCGTTTTGGAAACTGAGTTCATCAACCAAGAACGTACCACATCATTAACCCGGGACCATGTCGCTGCATCGCGATGACCATCATCAGGCTTGGGTAGACTACCATCAACAAAACAGAGTTTGTTTCTCCCGTTTAACGCCATAATCATTGATTGATGCCACAATCCAAAGTCAGCAGCTCCGATAAGACGATCGGAGACTAACAACAAACCAGAATGATCATGATTAGTGAGAGAATAAGGATTCTCGTAAGGATCTCGGTTAACAATCACCGCCGCCATGGATGCGATGAAGAACAGAGAAAAGAAACAAAAAGAAGATGAAAATGAGCAGAAAAAGCTCAAATCGAACAAAATAAGAACAGATCCGAGACAATCTGAGGTCGAATCGAAGAAGAAGAAACTCAAATCATGAAGATCAAAGCTCAAAAAATCGAAAAACGAATGAGAAATCTGGGCGGAAGGAGAAAAAAGAGCTCTGATACCATATTAGAGAGATAAAGTAAGAGAGAGATTAAGGAATTGATTATTTCTCATTAGCTGTAAATGTGTTGTTACAACCAGTATTAATACTCTAATGTTGACTATACAAGTATATAGATAATATTTACAAGTATTGAATTATATACTCTAATAGAAAAAGTAATTGAAATTATATAGATATTAGATGTATAGACACACATATATAATGTACTTCTCCTGATATTTCTTTAGAAAGAAAACCATAATCAATTTAATAAAATAAAATAAAAACCATAATCAATACTTTTATAAAACTGAGGGGTTTGCAAACTCTGTAGCTACTAACTATGACTTGGCACCATTTCCTCCACCAAGATTCTTTTCTCTATATAATAGCGAAAATTCCTCCTCACAAACACATCCACCATTCAAAGCTCTTTCTCTCTGCAAATCTCCCATCATTTCCATAGCCTTCTTCTTCTTGTCATTTCCCTTAACTCCTTTTTGTTAGATCTTTTGTATTTTACCACTTCATAAAGTAGCACTAAACAACATATATACACATACAATAGAGATGGATGCTGAAAAGAAGAGTGCTCATTTTCGCCAAATCTCAACTTATAAACCACAACTACTTGTCCTCTCCTCAATCCAAGAACAACCTTCTTCAAAAATCTCAGACAAACCCAATATCAAAGCTGATAATGACGCCGAGATTGGAGTTTTCGGAGCAGAAAAATACTTCAGCATGAAGCTAGATCCTGTTGATTCCTCGGCGGATATCACCAAGCAACACGAAAAGGAAAACACACAGGATCATCCTCATCCCCAATTGACGAAAACGACGTCGTCTAGATCAAGAACAAGCCGACACGGAACGCCAAGTGTAAGATCCGAGTCAAGTTACAACAGCCAAACCTTTCTCATGAGGATTAACAACAATGAGAACAAGCAACGGAAAACGAACGAGACAAGCGTCTCTTTTGGTCGGTTTAGATGTTACGGTCCCTGCTCTGGGGTCAAAACCGTCCATACCGACCCAAAAATCTCCTGTAAAAGTAGAAATTCCGATCGGGATTTCGTTGCTTACGACGCAAGAAAGCACAACGACAAGCCAAGACTCCATTTTGAAGCCAAGAAAGCGGATTATAATGAGCCAGAGAAGATCCCATTACCTATTCAAAGGTCCGATATCGCCATGAACCTCGAGAGAAAGCTCTCTCTGCTTACATGGGACGCAATACCAAACCAACTCTCTACCAAGAACAACAATCACAACAATGGTAATAACTCTTCAATGAGCAGCAACACGCAAGAGGAAGAGACAGCAAGTGTAGCGAGTTCTGATTTGTTCGAGATTGAGAACATAACGAGCAGTGTCTATGAGCCAAGTGAGGCCAGCATTGGATGGAGTGTGGTAACGGGAAGTATGGCAGATCAATCGGTAATTTCGGATTTCCATATGATGAAGAGGGTCACGAGAAGTGGTCCGGCGGTTAGAACCAAACCGGTGATTGGTGAGAAAGTCCGGTCGGCTGGGTTTTTGTCGGGTTGTAAGAGTCACAAAGCTGTCTCGGTTGTTGATAGTTCTAGAAAAGTGAAAGAAACAGCCAAGGTTGATCATCACGAGATGTCTCATCAGAAGAAGTTCAAAACTGAGATTAGGATTCAAGACTTGAGCTTTCTTTAATAAACAATGTTTGTGTGTGTGTGTTCTCAATTAGTTTTCAAATGTTTTTGTAATATTTGTTCGTGTATGCTAATGATTTTGATAATTTTGATCTCTTGGTTTATATTATAAAACCCTACAATTATGGTTTTCGAAAAGAAAAAAACCGATACAACTAAAATAAAGCTATGAAAATTGGAGTTTTCGTGGAATTGATATAAGATCCAACCAAGAGTGACGTTCAAATTAAGTTTGAGACACTTACCAGTCACTCTAATTTTTACGATGAATTCTATAATAATTTTGAACCTCAATTCAGAAAACCAAATTATCCAGAAAAAAAAAATGATCCAAATTAACCACTGAACCTATATATTCACTCGAGTTTTTAGTCTTCGACCACAGTACAATAATACATGTTGCTTATTAGATTTAGTATCGTCTTTGGAGTATGATTTAAGTTTTTAAATATGTTTCTGCATGTTATACCATATTTGCAACTTTTGAGAAATGACACTAAAATATAGTTCAGGATTATCATTTCTAGTTTCTACACCACATGTTTCACCACATCACATCCATGAACGTTACGCATTAATTGGAATGGATTATATAATAAAAACATCGTAATTATATAGATCCCTCCCGTGAGTCACGACCCTACAAATTATGCATGTCAGCATGTGGATAATAAGAGACGATTATAACTTGACGTCGAGACAATGAAATATCAATTAGTCTGTATGAGACTACACAAAACTGGCATTAACGTCGGATATATATTTGTAGCCATGCAATTGCAAACTTAGGGTTGGTTAGTAATAAATGTGAAGGGGAATGTTCTCAAATTGGGACCAATTCAATAACTCTGAACGAGCTAATTTGTTCAAAAATTTTAATAAATAGAGTATGGGCATTGGATGCAAAACATATAATTAATTGGACCGCCTTAGACAGCACTATATTTATTGAATTTATAAATCATTTATGAAATAAAGTTTTCATCTATATATATTGGTAAACATCAAAATTTATATATCCATCTTAATAAATCCATATATGAACAGAACTTTACATTTGTTTTTCTATACAACAAAACATAACATAGTTAAAAACCTAATATTAAGCGAATAATTCATAGCTGATCGGTTCTAACGGTCCAACGATATTAATGTACTACCATATTTGTTTAAAATTAGTGGAAGCTGGAAAAATAATTCTACATTACTCTTGTCTATATACTATTAAATTAAGTATTGTGGTACCACCAGCTATGAAGAATGTTTTCGACAATATTAATTACTTTGTGACCACCTTACCCAATTCCATTCGATATTAAATAGGAAAAAGAAGTATACCTATTGTTATGTTTTGTCTGATATACATACACATAAATACCCAACTAGAGCCAAGCAACTCCAATAAATCGACCGTTGAATATGAATAAGTGACACCTTTTTTATTCATAAATGTGATCCTCTCAAAACATATATGGAGTAGTTAATATCATTTTAGTTCCTTTACAAAAAAAAAAAAAAAACATTTTATTTGAGTCTTAAAAGGTTTATTAGACTAGTGGCCCATGTTTATCCTGTTAAAATTACATAACTTCACTAGCCCGTAAAGCTCCTTAGGAAGCCCATTTTGAGCCCATGGATATCTAATATTAACAAGTTGATATCCAACATATTTTGCAAATGCAGATTAATGATTTTTTTTTTTTTAATGATTTGTGATAAGAAAATTTTAATCTACACAGAAAATTAATCTTTAGGGTGGATAGATTAGATAAGTAATTAAGAGATGATATCATCATGATTGTAATGTTTGATTTATTACCTAATATTGTTTTTGTTACCAATTACCTGACTTTTTTTTTGTTGTTGTCAACATATGATTTTTTTCTGTAATCATAAAAAACTTATAAAATATCACATAACTTTAACTTGATATATATTTTTATTAATTACCATCAATATATGTAATGGTGGGTAGATTTTAAATATTAAAATCAAAAGAAACATAGAAATCTCTAAACTACCCAAGAGATGACAAAAATACCCTTCTTCTCTAACGTGACGTAATCTAATTGGTCAACAAAAAACCCCCCAAAACCCTAGATCAGTTTTACCCACCAGAGTCACGCATCACACAATCGAGTTTTAGGGTTTTAGCGGGTGCTCTCTCCGAAGGCAGAGAGAAGAGGGAGGAGGAAGTCTAATTCCTCTGCGTTTTTCTTGCAATTAGGGTTTCATCAGAAGTGAATTGAAAATGGTGGCAGACAAGAGCAAGAAGGCTAAAACCGAAGAAGAAGACGTCGAGCAAATCGATAGAGAGCTTGTCCTCTCAATTGAAAAGCTTCAAGAGATCCAAGACGACCTCGAGAAGGTAAAAAAACCCTCTTTTTTAACAATCCCCATGTTTAATTTGCTTGAAAATCTCCTGAATTTTCATTATGCCGATGTTCATTTATTGCTTTGGTTAATGAGAATTGTTCTGTGTTGGACTCTCTGGGATTAAGTTTTCTAGTATTGGACTAATTACAGACAAAAGTCACTATCTTTAGTACTTTTGTTGTTGTATGAAATGTGGTCGTTTTCAAATTGACTTGTCAATCAAACTGTTTGGGGATTTAATTGTTGTGTTAGAGTAGTCCAAATCTCAATGACCTCTCTGGTTTTGGTTTTGCAGATAAACGAAAAGGCTAGTGATGAAGTGTTGGAAGTGGAGCAGAAATATAATGTGATAAGGAAACCTGTTTATGACAAGCGTAACGAGATTATCAAATCCATCCCTGATTTCTGGTTAACTGCTGTAAGTTAGATTCTTTATTCTGATTTTCAATTTTGGAGTTTCAGAACAATTATTTCTCTAATTGGAATTCTGGAAATTCTGCTTTTGTTCTAGTTCTTGAGTCACCCTGCTCTTGGTGAACTTTTGACAGAAGAAGACCAAAAGGTTTGTGTTTTCCTTTCGACATTTCGTCTGATTGATTCACAGTTTTTCATTCTTTGATTCGATATTTCTGTTTTGTACAGATTTTCAAATTTCTTAGCTCTCTTGATGTTGAGGATGCCAAAGATGTGAAATCTGGATACTCTATCACTTTTGTAAGTTTCTTTTGTTATTATGCGACTTTATCATATTTTGATATATCTCTGACTGATCTAAGAAAGCCGAGTTTTTTTAGTTTCTTAGTTTACTGATTGCTGTTAAATTGTGAATTGCAGTACTTCAATCCCAATCCATTTTTTGAAGATGGAAAACTAACAAAGACTTTTACCTTTCTCGAAGAAGGGACAACAAAAATCACAGCCACGCCTATCAAATGGAAAGAGGGCAAAGTAAAATGGATCTTTATTGCATAAAATAAGTTTATTTCTTAAGTTGTCACTCTTTGGGATTATTCTTAACTATGTTTCTCAATTTTTAAGGGCTTGTCAAATGGAGTGAATCATGAGAAGAATGGAAACAAACGTGCATTACCTGAAGAGAGGTATACATTCGTCTCCCCATCCCCATTTCAGTGAAATTTCACCTGGCATAGATACAAGTTAAAAGTCTTGGCACCATGACTTAAGCCTTTCTAATTAGCAAATTACATGTCTGAGGAGTGAGGACTCTCTATCTTAACTGTCTTTTTTCAGCTTCTTTAATTGGTTTCGTGATGCTCAACACAAGGAGGATGTTGAGGATGAGATGCAAGACGAGGTAGTGATCCTATCTGTTTATGACTTGTTTGTAAGGGTAACCTTATGTCTGGCCCAACTTGAACTCCGAAATTCGTCTTATAGCAGGTTGCGGATATCATCAAGGAAGATTTGTGGCCCAACCCTCTCAACTACTTCAACAATGTAAGCTATTCACCATTTCATTTTTCAGTCTATATCTTTGTTCAGAGCGCATAAGTTGCTTGAAGATTTTGGTAAATTGTGTATGTAACTTTGTAGGAGGCTGATGAAGAGGACTTTGATGATGGAGATGAAGAGGTAAAAGCATCATCTAATTTCCTTTGTTTGGTTGAGTTTTCTGCTTAAAATTTGCTGCATCTATGATATGCTAATAATGTGCATGATGTGATGCAAGATTAGATGGAGAAATTCTAAAACAGAACTTTGTGTTGTTATTATTAATGTCTGAAACCATTTCATTTTTGGAGATTCCATTATACGTTTTATCTGATAAGTTTTTCAAAACCATATCCATCTCTAGGGAAAAGAAGGTGATTCTGATGAAGATGATGACGAAGAAGACGGAGATGGTGAGGAATGATGGGAGGGTTCCCCAGAAACCACATTTGCTTACATGTCATCTCTATAACAGAATGTGTAAAGTTTTGTGTGTTTTGAAGGTTTTAATTTTAAGCAAAAGTGGATTATGACAACAACAAAGAAGCTTTTTTATTTATTTTACCGTAAACCTTGTTGTATGAAACCATTTTCAGCTTGTGTTGCAAAATCCTGCTTAAATGGTTTTTGAGTCTTAGCTTCATCTTTTGTCTTTTTTTTTTTTTCTTTCTAAAGAGGATTATATTGTAATTTCATCACTGTTGTGTCTGTGTGACTTTACTGAATAGAGAGATCCGTGTGTTTATGGTGAAAATGAGGGTTCTCTGAGAGAATATAGCGATATGGAAGGAAATTTCTCACGTTGTTCGTGATCTGCTTGCCAGATGAATGGAGTTTATTTTCGTCTGGTTAATATGACTCTGTTTTCTTATATCAAGATTTTTGGGAAACCCTCTGGATCTATTATTGTTTGGTCTGAACTCTGAAGGTAAATGTATACTTTTTGTCTTTGATGTGCCTAATGATATGATTACTAATGAACTCTTATCTTTTAGATCACTAGAACAAAGTAAGAAATTGTAATGTGTAACTTCCACTGGTGTTCTTCAGATTTCTATATATCCTGTAGTGTACAAAGATGCTCTAAAAACTCAGATTCTGGCTGGTTCTAGTTGTTAGAGAAGAACATAAAAGTCTCTAAAGACTCCAATGTTCCATAAAGACCTACCCCTAACGGTGTCTAAACCGTTTAAATTTGATCCAAAACAAATGGAAATAGTCTTGAAAAAAGAAAAAAGAAAAAAAACTGATCATAAAATCACCTAGTTTACTAAAAAGTGGTATTTAATAAAATTGCTCTCTGGGGATGTACCTTTAGTCAAGTGGTTAAGTCTACTTGACTCCGCCTTCTCCACCGTAGTTCGACTCCAGTAGGTCGCGTTACCCCGCGTAGTAAGGATTGGCTATGGATCGGGCTTGTCGATCCAAAGATGTCAAAAAAAAAAAAAAAAAAAAAATTGCTCTCTAAATAACTTTATTAATAACCTACAACAAGATTTAATTTCTCAGTTCTTAAGTGGCCATTAACTACAAGCATCACCTGAAAAGTATTAACTTTTCGCAGCCATTATCTCCAATTAATTTCTTAACCGTTACTCGCAGCTACAACTATAAGTTTATTAGTACTATTTTTCGTTAACAATTAAAATATTAATTGGCACCATACTTTACAAATTAACTGATTACAAATACTTAGGAGTATATAATATTTAGGAAAAAGGGTAATTATATGAATTCAACTAGCTACTCACAAAAGAGCAAATTAACTACGATTGGCTTATAAATCATATCCATGCAGCAGAGAGATGCTAAGAGAGACGTCTATCTATTCCCTAATCCTAAAAAAAAAAAACGTCCCTCTTAATTATTAGCATTAGTTACCATTAATCATTTATATCTCTCTCGTAACTCCAAATTTTACAGGGTAATCAATTAGCCGTCAATACCCACTTTCATGTACATTTTATAACTTCACTTCTATATCTACCACTATATATATACACACCTTTCTCTCTCTCCCGTTGATTAGTGATCACAAACCCATTAATAATGATGAAATCGTTTTGCAAGTTGGAGTATCATCAAGTATTTGGCAAAGAAGATATATCATTCTCATTTCTAAACCACTCATCACTTTACTCTAATCAAAGGTAAATTAATTATTTTTTTTACATGGTTATGATAACAGTTCTTGATCCATGTTATATTTGTTATGTGTTCTTGATGCAGCGAGTTAGCGAATCCTTTCTTCGAATTGGAAGACGAGATTCTTCCTTCTGCAACCTCTAGTAATTACTTTACTTCTGCCTCAAGCTTTCTTGCTTTACCTGATCTTGAACCCATCTCCATCGTATCTCATGAAGGTATGTATTTATGCACTTAATTACATTGTATTTAGATTTAAGATTGATCTCATGGATTTTCTGTCTGCACTTCTCACTCTTGTCGTTCTGTTTAAGCAGATATACTTAGTTTGTATGCAGGGCCGGTCCGAAGTTTCTAAATTATTTTTAATGCCCTACGCATAATTAACAATTTGGGCCTTTTTGTTAATGTAAAAAAAAAAAAATTCTCCCAAAAAAAGTGTTTAACAATGTGAGACCCTAAGCGGTGGCTTCACTTGCTTGCCCTCCGGACCGGCTCTGTTTGTATGGTTCTGCTTCATGGACCGAAGAAGAGTCGATGCTCGATTCTGATTTTGCGAAAAAGAGTGAAACCACAACTACCAAGAAGAAGAGATGCAGAGAAGAATGTGTTTCTAGTTGTTCTGTTTCAAAGACATTGTCGAAGGAAACCATCTCATTGTACTTTTACATGCCGATAACTCAAGCGGCTAGAGAACTTAACATTGGTTTAACTCTTTTGAAGAAGAGATGCCGCGAATTGGGTATCAAACGTTGGCCTCATCGTAAGCTCATGAGCCTACAAAAACTCATCAGCAATGTCAAGGTATAAACAACTATAAACATAATACAACTAAGTTATATAACAAGTTAAATTCCTCTATTGTATCATTAGGAATTATTTTTATGATATTTTTTTGCAGATTTTTAGTTTGCAAATTCTTCTTTTTTTTTTTGGAAATATTGGAACCACTATATAAAGCCTTAATGTATGGTCTACGATTTTAGTGAGTTTGACGTGCCTATTTCTATAATTGTAACAGGAGATAGAGAAGATGGAAGGGGAAGAAAATGAAGATAGGCTAAGAAATGCTTTGGAAAAGCTCGAGAAGGAGAAAAAAACGATTGAGAAGTTACCAGATTTGAAGTTTGAGGATAAGACAAAGAGATTGAGACAAGCTTGTTTCAAGGCTAACCATAAGAGGAAGAGAAGAAGTGGCATGTCCACGCCCATCACATCATCATCTTCTTCTGCTTCTTCCTCTTCTTACTCTTCTCTTCCGGGTTTGAGTGATAATAGGTGCTCGATGGTCGTTGATGAAGAGGTATGAGAAGATGATGATAAAGAGATGATCTCTTATGAAGTTTCTCTCATGTGGGTTCTTCAATTTGTTTATGAGTGTGTTGTGTAAGGTTTAGTGTATTCGACTCTAAATTACAAAACTTTTTTTGACTCAATAATATTAAATTACTACTAAAATGACCTCTCTCTTTTGTCTCAAATACTTGTTAGCTTTTCAATCTTTAAATGTAAATATACGAGTTTATTCAGCCTAAGCCCTTAAATCAGCCTAAGCCCAAATAGGAACCCACAATGAGTCTCTACTATAAATATACGAGTTTAATCAGCCTAAGCCATTAGTTCAAAAAAAAAAAAAAAAAAAAAAATTCAGCCTAAGCCCTTAAATCAACGAATTTCAATTTCTTTTTAGGTGACGACAAACAACAAAGAGAAAAAAATAAACAGGAACCACTAGGTTTGATTTGATTTTTTTTTTTTCTTAAATCATGCCTAAAATTTTACGCGGAGAGTTCGACCACAAAATCAAACATGATCCAGAACCAGAAGATGCAGGCACAATCAAATTCAGAGTCAAAGTGAGGTTCTTAGGTAAAGATGATGATAACTTGACATTCACGACTTTGTCGTTCGTCGACGAATTCATCAACGAGGATCGCAGCGAGTGTCAAAGCAAAGTAAACTTGAATAGATTTTTAAAGGAAGCAGGGATCAGCGACTACGATATTGCATATGCTATGTCTCACTTTATTCCCTTTGTTGCTAAAATAACTTCTTCTACAAGTAATGAGTATTCTCCAGAGTGTGCTTTAGAAGTGTCGTTTGATATTCTTCTTCTCGGTGAGCCTCGTATTGGAGAAGCAGTTAAAGTATTGTTAGACTACGAAATCAAACACGATCCTGAACCAGAAAAAGATGGCACAATCAGAGTCTATGCAAGGATCTTCTTCGGTGGAGAAGATTACTTGGCATTCACGACTTTGTCGTTTGCTGGCGAATTCATTAATGATGATCGCAACGAGTGTCGAAGCAAAGTAGACTTGAATAATTTCTTCAAGGAAGCAGGGATCAGCGACCACGATATTGCACATGCCATGCGTCAATTAATTCCCTATATTGCTCAAATAACTTCTTCCACAAGTAATGGGTATTCTCCAGGATGTGCTTTAGAAGTGTGGTTTGCTCTTTTTACTCACGACGAGCCTCATATTGAAGAAGAGGTTCAAGTTGAAGAAGCAGTCCAAATTGAAGAAGCGGTACAAATCTCGTTTGACGAGACCACTAACATCTGTTTGAGACCCGCAAGCGAGGTCGTGGTCAAGTCCTTAACCAGGAAAATATACGAGAAGATTAGCTGTACTGGTCAAAAATGCACAATTTGTTTGGAGGAGTTTAACGATGGAAGAAGAGTTGTGACTTTACCTTGTGGACATGACTTTGACGATGAGTGTGTCCTAAAGTGGTTTGAGACCAATCACGATTGTCCTCTGTGTCGTTTCAAGTTGCCATGTGAAGATCAATGAACTTCGGTAGGAAAATGAGAACGATTGAGAATGTAGATTCGATTTAGGATTACTTTTTTTTTTTTTTTTTAATTTTGATAATAATCCCTTTTTCATGCAAAAAAAAAAAAGAAGATTATAATCCCTTTTCTTTTTGAATTCGATTTTTTTTTGTTTTTTTTTTGTTTATTGGGACTTAATTTGGAGAATGTTGTGTATCATAATAACACTGGTATAAATCAAAGGAGTTTTGAAAAGCTAAAATAAAGAAGAGGAAGAGAAAAAAAGAAAGAAAGACCCTTTTTGTGTGTGTCAAACACAGAAACACTTAATTAGCCAGCATGGCAAAATCTATAAAACAAAATATATACCATTCTTATAAAATATATGGTTTCTAGAACCCATCTCTTATAAAAAAAATGTCTAAAACTCCCATGCATGAGTATATTATGTACATTATAGCTCAAACTAGTCCTTGGTCAGACCTAAGTCCAGACATGATCATTCATAGACCATAGAATGAGTTAGTTCGGTTGCTACCAAATATACAGAGACTTACAGAGATATAGCTAGGTATTTCCAATGGAGGTATGAAATACATACCTGGTTGTAAGAAATCTGTAACCCAAATACCCAATTAATTATTTTGATGATGTAAGAAGTCTGACAAACTTCTAATATTAAAAATTTCAACTATATTTGTTTTTCTCAATTACAGGTTTTCAAGTTTTTTTATTTTTTATTTTTAAATGAGATAAACTTCAGTAATCAAATTTTTGTGTAAGACGCATGTTTGTTACTCAGCCATATCAGAACATTAATTAAAAGCTAAATTTCTACCCAAAAAAAAAAAAAGGAAAGTAAAAGCTTAGGAAAAAATACATACACGGTTTGTAAATTAAGAAAAAACAACCCAAATTATAAATGACTGACGATATCAAATTCCAATATTATTAGATTTTCTACTGAAGATATATATACCATCAATGTAGTAGTGCCTCTATTATAAATACATGAATGAATTAATTCTAGAACCTAAAACCCATATAATCGATCAAATTGTATTTCCCAATATTTTTTCTTGATCGTTCTCGCCATTATGACTTCGTCCTTCACACACGAAATCAAGCACACTCCAATACCCGAAGATGTTGGCAAAATCAAAATCAGTGTTGATACAACCAAAATATATCAAAGTATCAGCAATTGGGACCTCTATCAAGAACAAAAAGAATTCTCGTGTATCCCGGTTTCTTTACGTGAATGTATTGACGTAGAAGTTACCGAATTCTTGACGCGATCAGGAGAAATCACTCCTATAGATGCTTACAATGTGTTACTAGACTTGTTTCGATTTATCGATGAAGTAACTTCTTCTGATGAATATACTCCAGGTTGTGCTTTAAGAGTGTTGATGACTCTTACTATCGGTATTCCTTATGAAAAAATTGAAGACGTTCTAGGTTCAGAGGATGAGCATTATGTTATCTTTGAATTTGATCATCAAACTGAAGAAGCAGCTCGACCTCAAGTTGAAGATGTTGTTCAAGACTCGTTCAATGAGACCGTTGAAGAAGAGGTTCTAGGTTTAGAGAATGAGGGAGATGTTATTTTTGACTCTGATCATTTAACTGAAGATGCAGCTCGATCTCAGTTTGTAGAAGTCTTTCGAATCTCATTAAATGAGATTAGTGAAGAAGAAGATCTAGGTTTGGAGGATGAACACGATGTTAACTTGTCCTATGAAGAAGCAGCTCTATCTTACCTTGAAGAAGTTGTTCAAGTCTCGCACAATGAGACCGTTGGAGAAAATGTTCTAGGTTTAGAGGATGAGCTATATCATCAAATTGAAGAAGAAGCTCGATCTCTTTCAGAAATTTCTCGATTCTCGCTCAGTGAGACCATTGAAGAAGAGACTATAGGTTATGAGGATGATTACGATGCTAACTTTTCCCATGAAGAAGCAACTCCATCTCAGCTTGGAGAATTTGTTCCATTCTACGGGCTGTCACGCTTATTGGTTCATCACGATGCTAGCTTTGACTTTGATCATCAAACTGAGGAAGCATTTCGTTCTCGGATTGCAGAAGTTTCTCGAGTTTCGTTCAATGAGACCAATACTGTCAGGTTAAAACCTGCGAGCAAGTTCGTTGTCGGATCTTTGAATAGGAAAATATACAAGAAGGCTAGAGATGTCGTCGTTGAGAATGCCATGTGCACTATTTGTTTGGAAGAGTTTGATGACGGAAGGAGTATTGTGACTTTACCGTGTGGACACGAGTTTGACGAGGAGTGTATTGAAGAGTGGTTTGTGAGAAATCATATATGTCCATTGTGTCGTTTTGAGTTGCCACATGAAAGATGAAGGGGACCGAAAAGGTTACTAAATTTTGAATAAAAGATTTGTGCAATATCATAGTATTTTTTTATTAAATCCTTTTCTATGGTTCTACACTATATGCTCTTGATTCAATTTATAGTGTTGGACTCTCATTCAAAAATCATAATTATATTGATCATACTCAATTATTATAGTGTGATTTCACGATTTTACGGTTCTTTGTTAATCTTTAAACGTTTTTATTTGTTTCATTATGCGATTAAGTAAAACCCTTGTTTGAAAAATCGCTAGGCGCTAGTCGGGCGCTCGGCATGGGCCTAGCGATTAATCGGAAAATCGGATTAAAATCGGGGATTAATCGGGGATTAGTTTTAGGGTTATTTTAATATTTTTAAAATATATTAATCCAATATTGTAAAAATTTATGATTTTTATTACAAATTTATGATTTTTATTAAAATTTGAACACAAGTTATTGTAAAACATCACAAACTCTCCATTCAAATGATTGAATAACAAAAATAAAAAGTTTTTTTATACTTGCAATCTAAAAAATAATCGGGGTATATAAGATTAGGCGGAAAATAATCGGATTAGGCGGAGAATAATCGGGTTACTGATTTTTTAGGGGATTAGTCATTAATCGAGGCGGATAGGGTGGGCCTAGCGATTAAGCGGGGAGTAATCGGGGCTAGGCGGGGATTTTTAGAACAGGGAGTAAAACATATCAATATCAAATATGATAAATACCTTTATATAATATTTTAGTTGAGTTAACATTTTCTTGCTTAACTAAATATAATCATTTTTTATCTACTTCATTTTATTTTTCAATAATTTCAAAATATTCATGTCACCAATCAAAACATTTAGGGAAATCTTTTAAATTTTTATACAACTTTGAAATATATAATATTTAATTAATCATGGATTTATATTGTTCATGTAGATAGATTTGAATAAAGGATTTATGTCTATCTTGTTGATTTTAGCAACTGAATAGAAATTAAATTATTATAAACGAATACAATAGATAGAGTTGGATTAGGAATTTAGGAATATTGTGATTAAATTATTGTGATTATAGAGTTTGATTGGATACCCTACAAGTTTCAGTTCCTCCAAGGGTTTTTCTTTTCCAATCCTTCTATATTGTAATCTAAAAAAAAGGGTAAATCAGATTTATAGTATCATGTAGATAGATTTGAATAAAGGATTTATGGAAATAAATGGAAACTTTGGAAAAAGTTGGAAAAAAAAAACTATTGTTAATATAATAAATATGTTTCCAAATCCCACCAGTAAAACAAATGCACGCAGAATCCTCTATAAATAATATTCGTGACAACAACATAAACACACAAGAACCATCCGAAGTTTTGAGTTCTTACTTTATTTTTTTCATCAACGTCTTCATTCTCCAATCAATCATGAGAGTATATTTGTACCACAATATCATACGCAATCCTCAACCAGAAAACGCCGGCACAATCACAATCAATGCAAAGATCGACGGTTACAATTCGACGTTTACTGGTTCATCGTTTACCGAAGAATTCTTCGACGAATATAACGACCAGTGTCGAAGCAAAGAAGACTTGAATTATTTCTTAATGGAATCAGGAATTGAAGACGACGATATCGAATATGCGATATCAGAGCTAATTTTCTATGTTTTTGAAGTAATTCTTCCCATATGTAGTAATTATAATCCGAGTGGTGATTTGTTAGTAGTGTCCTTGTTTCTTTCTCCTAATAATATCAGTTTGAGACCCGCAAGCAAGTTTGTGGTCAAGTCTTTAGCCAGGAAGATATACAAGAAGACTAGTAGTTCTACTAGTGATAGGTGCACAATTTGTTTGGAAGAGTTTAACGATAGAAGAAGAGTTCTGACTTTACCTTGTGGACATGACTTTGACGATGAGTGTGCCCTGAAGTGGTTTGATACCAATCAAGATTGTCCTCTGTGTCGTTTCAAGTTGCCATGTGAAGATCAACGAACTTGTTTGGTGCTGTGGCCGGAGTAACCTCGTTCGTAACACCTTTTTCGGTTTTTTTTGTCAGCAATCTTATATTAAAAGATCGTGTCAAACACCCTTTTGAGTTGGTTAGTATAATCTATATCTATATATAATAATATTTGAGAAGTGTTTTTGCTGACGTGTCGGACTCTCGGCTCTTGTTGAGTCATTGATTTTACGTAATTACTTAATTACCCTTAATGAAATCTAATTAATTTTGGAAAAATTAAATTGAATTTCGGATATTTAAGATGATAATGTCAAATATAGTTATAAATCTTAATTAGTTATGTTATTGTTCCATAACAAATAATTTAAAAATATATAACTTCCTTTTTGTAGTTATTATCGTCAAAAAAAAAGAAAAACCCTAAAAAAATCCTACACCGCCTCTTACCTTGATATAAATACCTTGCATGTTTACACTTTCGGATCATCACTAACCTTGATTTTTTGCATTGATTTTTTTTAGTTATACATCTTATTTTCGTTACTATAAATTCTAATGGTTTTTTTTAACGATTGTAGGTTTTGGATGAGTGAAAGCAACCATGATGCATAAAGAAGATTTAGTGATGTTTCAATTGATTAACGGGTAATCTTTTATCTTTAATGTCTCGATTTTCTTATTTTGTTATATTTTTATATGATTTACGTTACATATCTAATGTATGTCAGACTAATCAAGGTGCGGTTCAGAAATTTATGTTCCAAAACATTGTTACAAATCGATGGGGGAAAAGGTTTGATTTATATTTGTTCCTATCTATATGATATTGTGATTAATTTATGTGTTTTTATTTGTTTTACCGATGCTTTTGTGGAATTTCAAAATATTGAAAAGTTATGGCTAATCTCCACGAGCATGTAATCTCTCATATAACTTTGATCGTTTTTTTTTATGAGTCTTATTTTTTGTGTGATAATCAATGTTATTGTCAAATTATCTCCACGAGCATGTGATCTTCCATGTATTTTTAATCTACTCTTTGTTTTTCTTGTTTGATGAGTTTTAATTTTGTGTGGATATCATTGTTGTGATGTAGTCAAAATTCCAATAATGAGATACCAATATTTCGACTCTTTTAGGTATCACGTACGTTTCCCAACTTTATATTTGATACGTCTTCGCTTGTTAACAGAAAATTTGAAACATCGATCTCCATCTTCTAAAAGTGATTGAATTAAAATAGAATGACAACGTTTTAAAACCTAATTCCCAATTAATATTTGTGGTATATGTTTTTATGTTTTATTCCACTATGGTTGTGGGTCGATGATATCAATTATGAACATGTAGGTAATTTTATAATTTAGTCCTAATCAGTTGTCTGTTTTTGTGAAACTCCTAATCTATTATTTTTTTATTAATTAACCTAATAGACTATAGTCGTTGGGTATTCTTCTTCCTCTTATTCTCTTCACCGTATCTTCTCAGGGACATATTCCAAAATCTGATACACATGGTCTACAGTGTCACTCAACGTCATGTGGTGAGTTTTAGTTTTATACGTTCATGTTTAATGTTTGCTCTTCTGAGGATTTATTCTCTTCATGCAAGGTCTGTCTATTCAATTGTTCATCTTTTATTATCTGTTAAAGAGAGTTTGTTGCATTAATGTATCGTGCTCTACATTTCGAATTGTCATTTCGTTGTTACTTCCTGGTGTACAAAAAACGGCAGTGATATGGATTTGTGCTTTGCTAAATCTGTTTCTCAGTTCTCTGATGGCATTGAAGACAGAGTTGTGGTGGGGAGCCTTGATCTTAACCAATGCCGTTGGCTTCCTGATGAAATTGCTGGAACAAAACCAGAGGTATTTGTGTCGCCAACAATGCTGAACTTGAATCTGATATTGGACAAATTGAGAAGCCTAAGAGTATTTTATGTTATAGGGGATTGGTGTGGATTTTGCGAGAGCATACTTAAGCAACGTCTGTGTTGCAAAAGAGCTGCATCGTAATGGAGTTGGTTACAAACTCATTGATAAGTCCAAGAGAGTGGGGTAAGAATGTTTAATCAAACTCCTTAGACGTGTCCAGTTGGAGTTAAAAAAAGAGTTGTGAATATGGTTCAAGCATAACGGATATGTACGTGCATGTGATGGTAGCCAATGAAGCAGCACATAGGCTATACATGAAAAGCGGAATCGAGCAAGAGACTGCTGAGCAGCGTGGCAAGCTCGATACCTCAATAGACCACAACGGCTCCTCCTCTGGCTCCGCCTATCTTCTTCTTCCCTGGAGCTGATCCTCAGCTTTCTTCTTCCAATGGACGCTTTGCGATTCCTTCCTCTTCTCTCTTGTAAGTCTCTCTCTGAAACTCTCTGTTTTTTTCAATTACATTTCTCCGTTCTCATATTTTGGTTGAAGTTTTGGATTAATGAACAGCGTATATACTGTTCTGTCTCGTAATTTTTGTAATTCGTGTTCTGGGTTTGCGATTTCTGTTGCTACTCGCCACTAAATTCTCTGTTTTTCCTCTGAGCTTCTAAGAGCATCTCCAATGGGGGAGTTCTCTCCATGAGCTCTCTCAAATTTTTTATTATAAATTTTGAGAAAATGTTAGATGAGAACCTTTGATAATTTTTTTAATTTTTTTGTGTCCAATGGTAGGTTCTCTAGTAGGGTTCTTAGGAAAAAAAATATATAAAAAATTGTATATCATAAAAATTAATTTATTGCAATTCATAAAAAGAAGATTGTTGAAAAAAAAACAAGAAGAAGAATAGCAATGGTATTTAGGTGATCATAAAAAAAAAAAAGAAGAACAATGGTTTTTTTGGTTGGTGCTAAATTTTGGAGTAACAATAAAAAAAGAAAAGAAGAACAATGTGGATTTTTGGTTGGTGTTCCTTGTAAATTTTGGAGTAACAAGAAAAAAATTAAGAAGAACAATGGAATTTTGGTGAGCCGTAGAAAAAGAAGAAGAAGAAGCACAATGGAATTTTGTTGAGACGTAGAAGAAGAATAAGAACAATGTTTGTGTGTGTAATAATAAGAACAAGGATGTTGTTATATATAGCAAAGCTCAATCATATGGATGCATACAAAAAAGTGAGACTTGTGGTGTTTATACATAAAAACAAAAGCATATGCAACATAAAGCAAAAGCAAATGCAATAGGTCCGTGACTTGTGGTGTCTTCAGTCCTTGATTCTTTGTCTTCTTTCCACTTATACATCCCAAAGACTAAACTACACGGTGAAAATCATGGGTGACTGTGACTATAACTAACTGATCAAAAGAATGACAAGCAGATTACGATTATCATATTACCAAACCAGACACGGTGTGATGATGTTCACTTCAAAGTTGTTTACCTGATTTCAAGCCAAGGTCAGAGATAGTGAAGGAGGGGATAACATTCTTGAACTCCTGAAGCTGCTTGAAGTTCATCCATTGGGGTCATTGCTACTTCTGTTTCTCTCACTTCATTATTTTTCCCGGGCGTTGCAGCATCAGATGTTTTAGCAGACCTTTGAATAGACGCTCTTACATCCTCAAACAAAACAAACTCCTGACTATTCTCCACAGTGCAGTCACTTTGAAATGTAGAAATGGATTCTGTAGATCTATTAATATCCTCTAGAATGGTAGGTAAAGCTTTCTCCCACTCTTGTGATTGTTCTCCATCATGCTGGACAGTTCTTCAGGTTCCAAAACACCTGATATATTAACAATATATCTCAGCAAAAGTAAGTAACACATACAAACTACAACAAATCTAGGTGAACTTACCAGCGCTAGTGAAGAATTCATTGTCCCAGGCAAGACTTTTGCGCAAATTATACTATCCTTTCTTCATCACCTTCTTAGGCTCAGGCGACTCATGAGGTTGAAGTACCTCTTCCTTCTCTTCAATTGTAGAAACCAATATCTCATCATCACAATATAGTGTATCCCTCATGAAATTTAGATCTTTGTCATCCTTCAAACAATTTTCATCCTTATCTGCCTCTGAAATGTAAAACACAAAATTCACAACTTTAAATTAAAATCCAATGCCAGCTCGCTACAGTAGTAAGTAACAATGGATCTAAGTTCTAAGAAATCAATAAACCCTACATTGAAACTTGTCCAAGTAATCAATCAAATCAAGCAAAATCAAAATCCTCTAGTAATCAAGCAGATTAACAAAAACCCAGAACCCATAAATCCAAAATCAAAGGAGAGATATTGAAGTTCACCGGAAAACTCGTAGCTGGGTGGGTCAGGAAAGGAGGAGAAGAGAAGGCTATCGTCTTCAGAAGCGACATCAATCAAACCAAGGCCATCGGCTTCAACCTCGCTTTTTTTTTGTCGCGACAGAAATTAAAAAAAATGATTTTTTTTTTCTTTTGTTATAACTCTCCCTCCAATAGAACACTGACACGTGTCCGGCTCTCTCAAATTCTCAAAACTCTCTCAAGAGAATCGATTCTCTCATCTTAATTCAGTTTTGAATTATTTTTTTCCCAAAATCAGATGAGAACTCATCTAAATATGGAAGAGAACCTCCCATTGGAGGTGCTCTAAAAGCATAATCCATTTTGCGTAATTGAGATTTTTCTAATTGTGACTTTGATTTCTTCTCTGTTGGATCCACGGTTTTTACCCTTTCAATTGTTGTTTTCTATGAGTAATGCCTGTTTTCTTTCATTATGTTTTGGATCCAAATGCAATCAGTGTACAGTTTATAGTCTGGAAGCGGATTACTTCCAATTGGATCTGTTTCGTTCCGCATAATCACACTTGTGCTGTGAATCTTTGCTCTTGCGTTTTGAATAAGTTTACTTACTGGTACCGAATTGGTCGTTATTCTATTCATGAGATAAGCATTCCTGTTATGCTGCATCGTGTATTTCTTTATTTGTCTTTCTTCTCTTACTTACATACCCTGTGCTTATTCCACTGCCAGCGTTATTTCTTCTCTTCTTTAATGACATTTGTTTATCTAAGTTGGTAGTAAGATCATGAGGAAGAAGTATCTAGGCTTAGTTTTACCATAAAGTCTTTTGATTCTTTTCATGTGAGACAACACTTCATGGTTTCATCCAATTCAGTAGTCATTGACCAAAATTTTATCATTGCGTTTGATAAATAGATAACTTCCACTTCAGTCACCTGAGCATTGTGTTAACATCAATAAGTCCATGGCAAACACAGTGTTGGCAGATAAGACACCACTCTTTGGTTCCTTTGGTGTAACAAATTATTTTCACTTTAATGTTGGTAGATATGGTTTAGTCATATATTAATTACATGCTCAAATGATTTAAATTATAATACAACCAAAATAATTACGTCATACATTTAATTAATATGATTCTGATAATTATTTAATATTTAACTGCATAAAATTTGAAATAAATTTTCAAAACTATTTATGTATAATAAGAGGGGAAATTAATCAATCATATTTCTATTTTGAAGATAAATACAAAAAATAAGACATAACTAATAAAATTTGGTGCTTAAATGAATAAAATATACCTAAACTAGGACTGGGCATAAAACCCGAAATCCGAAAACCGATCCGAAAAATCTAGAACCGAACCTAAACCGAATAGTCCCTAAACCAGAACGGATAATAAATAATCCTATTCGAATTATCCGAACCAAACCCGATCCGAACGAAAACCGAATAGATATCCAAAAACCGGAAATAAACTTATATATCCAAAAATATTAGTTATATTTAGTTGTAATTTTATAGCAAATAACAAAAAATATCCTAAATAACCTAGATTCCATAATTTTTTTAGTTAGATTTGTTAAAATTATAAATATTTTTGTAAAATTTAACCAAATTTTAGAAAGATTAAACCAATTCTCATAGTATCTTGCCCATGTTATGTCTTTAAGACGTCAATACTATCCTGCACCCTATAATTCTAACCAATGAAAAGAACAAATATTTATTACCTTGGATACAGAGTTGACGAAGAAACCTTGGATAAAAACTCGACGAAGAAACTTGTAAGTGTTAATGTATGATGAAGCTTCCATGAACGTGAATTCGTGATCATAATGAAGAAACGTGTGAATGGAGACGGTTGATGGTTTTTTTTTCTTTTTTCTTTTTTTTTTTTTTTTTTTTTTTTTTTTCTTTTTTACCTTTTGTGTAAACAGATCTGTTTCATAATTTATCGGAAAAGGAATTATACCAAAAAAAAAAATCGGAAAAGGAAAATATTTATTATAATATTGATATATTTAAGATGATAATGTCAAATATCCGAAAATTATTAATCGGAGCATTAATATAAACATAAAAGAATACTATTCTAACCTTACTCAAATTAATAAGATTTAGATATCCGAAATTAATCGTAAACGGCTATTAATTGTTAAACTAATTAAAATAAAGATCAAACGTACCGGAATAGATGAAATTTTTGGTATGATCGTCGTGTTCGTCGTCGTTTCAATCTAAATATTTGGAAAAAAAACGAACAAAAAAAATAATATATAGATCAATGAAAGAGAACCCACCAATTTAGAAACGGTTATCACGCCATCGTATTGGTCGTCGGATGATTATAAGTCTCTAATCCGGAGATTGACTTGAACCCTGACAAAAACATATATTCATAGCATAAAATCGTAAATAGAAGGTAGAAGACCACCTATTAATCGGTTGTAACCTTGTGCAAACTCGATTTAATTTTGACGAATGAAATGTTGGTGTGGTGTCAAAACTTTCTTAGGGAGACTCGAAGATGAGAGAGCTGAAGTCAGAGATAGGCAGAGAGGTTTTTATGGAAAACAAACCTGCATTCATAATAAACACTACTATTAATTATTATTTTTTATGCAAGAATTAAATGGCAGTATAAAAAATTTAATGGTTAGTGCCGAAAAAAAAAGCAAGGATTAGTTATGATATCAAATCAAAATTAAATATCAAGCAAGATATTTACATAAAATTAAGGCAGGGGAGGATCTAAGAATTTTTTATATGACAATATCTACAACTAAACAAAGAAAATTTATATATTTTTAAAACAGAATCATTATTTGTTTTTTTGGTAAGATTAAAACCGAATCATTATCATATTAGTAAAATTATCATTTATTTATTACTATCCACGTTAATTTAAAAGTTTAAGAGAATATCTGCTTTTTTCTCATAAAAGGATGGGATAATAACATAACTCTTTTAGATTTATAACTATATTTGACATTATCATATTAAATCTATTAAGATAAATATATTTCTTTTTGAAAAATATAAATAAAATGATAATATAATTATTATAGATTTACAATTATATTATTATCCATGTCAAAATTTTAAAACATTTTACTTTTTTCTCACATAGGAAGATAGAACAATAACGTAACAGTTTAAGATTTACAACATAAAAATAATATCAGAATTGGAACGCCAAATCATAATCAACACAATTAACACAACTCTAATAGGAAATTAGAGTTATCTTGTGATTAAAATACTAAACAAACAAAACTAACCGAAACAAAACAAAAGTCTTCCTTTCAAAATCATTAACGTGACGGATTGCTGACTGATTAAGTTGAAGTTTTAGGCATTTAAAGATCTAGAAAGATTATTAAGGTTAAACATTTTTATTTATTTTAAACAACGTTTGAATGTTGACAAAAAAAGAAGAAGAGAGTGTTGGGACCATCGGGAGAGACAACGTTGAGCAGCTGCGAAAGAAGCCAACGTTGTCTATTATGTTCCTCACAGTGTTTGATTTGACTTTTGATGACATTACACTCCTATCCACTTGTTGTCTCGAAAGTTCATGCAATGAAAAATTATTAAACAAAACAATTTACTTTTATGTATAAATCCTAGGGAAGAACCGATCAAGCTAAGATCAATGGTTGTGGTTTTAGTACCGTATACTTCTCAAATATACCCGTTGAATAACGGAAATCCGCAAGACGGAGAGGAGACGAAGTCAACCTAGCTGGCAAAGGAGCTAACCCAGCTCCTTTGGTCTTATTTATGGTCATATGTATTTAGCAAAATATGGTATACAAACCGAACCAATCAACAACAAAACCTGGTTTTAAATTGTTGTATATTTCTCAAAAGTCAAAACCCATAATAACCAATGGAACAGAAGAAGCTAATGCAGAGCATACTTACGCTTGGAGTAAAGAGTGATGCAAGCTTCCATTGGCACACCCAAAAACGCATCAGAGCATGGAAAGAAACCTAAAAACCAATAAATTAAACAATAATTAAATCTTAGTGCATGGAAAACGAATCCTATACATACCAAAGTCCGAATCTCAGTGCCTTAGAATGACCTCGATACCAAAAACTTTAAGTTACTACTTCCATATATGTAATATTTTAGTTTGGGGAGAGAGATTGGCAACGAAGAGTAATTCCTGAATTTAACAGCCAAGTTTGTTATCCCTAATCTAAAGAGAGGAATACTTAAATTGTATTAACGACAAAAATTAGCCTCCTCTGAAGATTCATCCCTGAAATAAGTCATCTTTCTGACTTTGTGGCAACTGTGTTATCAAAAGTTGAGTGTTTCTTCTGAGAAAAGACATATTTGAAAATAATAAGAACATGTACCTCAACAAAATCAGGAGGTACCTCATCTTTTTACAACAAAAATAAACATACCAAACCATCGATGATTACCTTCTCAAAAGTTGAAACCAAACTTTTTGATTATAAAAATTGATTAGTGGTGAAAATAGTGAAACCATAAATACAAAAAAAAAAAAAAAATCAAATTTGTACATATAAACTATAAGATCACCTGTTTATTCATTGAATTAGGTCCAAATTTTCCATACACCAGTTCACATCGTCTCCTCCATACATCCACCCTACAATAAAAAGAAAAATTAAAATTAGGTAGATGCAAAAAAAAAGTTTGAAAAAAAAGAACAAAAAAACAAGGGTTAGTTATGATCTGAAATTGAATACCATGAGCAAGGTATTTATATTGAATAGGAGGCGGTGCATGTTTTAGAGTTTCTAAATTTTTCGACGATAAATACAAAAAAAGAAAAGAAAATTTACATATTTTAATAAGCAAATCACTATCATAATAATAAATATTTGTAAAACTGCCATTTATTCATTGTTATCCATGTTTATTTAAAATAATATTTACTTTTTTCGGTAAAAATATGGAATAATAACAACTATTTTAGATTTACTACTATATCTGATACTATCTTATAAAATATATTAAAATTTAAGGGAAAATTCCTTTCTGTTTCAAAAATAAGGCGGAACAATAATATAATTTTTGATTTACAATAGATAGACATGCATGGTATCCATATGCGTCATGTCACGCTGATCCATATTTTTTTCCAAAACTCGATCTAATTGCTATTATGTGCAAAAATCACCACCGTTCACGTTCATGTTCACGTTAGCACTCCATACCTTAATTCACATGTAAACCTCTCTGCCTATCTCTGACTTCAGCTCTCTCATCTTCGAGTCTCCCCAAGAAAGTTTTGACACCACA